TCACGTAAAGTGCAAGATGGATGAGTAATAAAGCTCTGGAATGGTACACATCTGGAGTAATGACAAACAGGGGTTGGGGTACATGGGGTATTAGTCGTGTACTTTTATCGAGGTCGTCTGATCTACGAGTCTCCTATTTCAAATATTATTTTTCTAAAACTAGGAGTTAGGTGAGATCTCATACTAACTACGATCACAGAGTCGCGCCCGTGGTCGTTGGATGTTTATTGATGTTTTCGAAAGGAGGCATGGGGTTTTTCTGTTATTGTTGTTCCAAATGGGACATGGGTTGGACAACCTTGTCTATTGCTAAATCCAATGAATTAAATAAATGAGTCAGTCAATATCAATTAGTGAGGTCTTAATAAATTTAATAATCGAGTCATGAATTGAGTCTGTATATAATGATGCTTGTGCTTGATTATTAGTAGCATGTTAGGTATTTTCTTAATTTATTTCGCAGCTTGTATGTACTCAGCTTTGCTGACTGCGTGCTTTTGTATGTGTCTTTCTTTGGTCAGGGCCTTCGCCTTTCAATGACCCTGTGACGATCCAATTTTTACACTTGTAATATTGGGGAGCAGAATAACCACAGGTTCTTACACATGCAGCATTCATCAGGGTTGTGGGATCTTGAGTAGAGAGTTGGTTGTTTGCATTTTATTTCTTTTGCAAGTTTGAATTTATTTTAATTCGATTTTATTTGACAATATTTCTTTTGGGATTGAATTTATTTGAACACTGAATTTAATCACTTACTACTTTTATTGGGTTTTGAATAAGGGCCTTAATGGTTCCAACTTGTAATACTTATTTTGATTTAATTCCTTTGTTTTGAGGTTTATTTATAATTGTTTTGGTTTTTCGCTGCTAATTTATGAGATAGCCTTAACGTTTGAACACGTGGCGGTATCACGCCAGTAATTCTCTTGAAATTGTTCAAGTTATATACAGGTTTCTCATAGGTCTTTAAGAGAGAATTATTGGGGTGTTACAGGAAGGGTGTTGTTGTTGGGGGTGGTGGTGGGGTTGGTCTTAGATGCAACCTGATAATTAAGATGACAGATATTTATCTACTTTCCAGTTGACCCTATATCCAATAAGAAAGAATCTATGTAAACATTGACAACAATATTTCCTTATAACATGACCATCAAACTTAAGCATCCTAGTTAGTTAAGTGATCTGGACAGAACACATACAACAAACCATGATTTTTCACAAATCATCTTGGTCATTTATAGATTCATTGTTATCATCAAACAAAACTGACATTGTGTGCTCAACAATACTGCAAAACAGGTACAACAAGAATGCTAAAAATAACTTATATGACCCGACATATAGAGCTTAAAACTAACAAATTGAATAGAAAAACAAAGCTAAGCTTAGACACTAGTTCATGTCACATACTCAAAACCTCAATAAAACCAAAATAAGAAGAATTCTTAAACTGTTTCATCTCACAGAGATTTAAATGATCAAATTACATCATCTCACATATTCAAAAACTCAATCAAATCAAAATAATGAAACGCACTACTTCTTGTCATATACACAAAAACTCAATTACATCTAAATAAGAGTAACATACTAATTAATTTCATCATAAAACCTAAATCACCTTCTCAAATAATTAACAGTTGCAGGGGACTTTAATTAAACGCCACTAACCCCGTAACTCTTTGCCAATTTAAAAACCCACAAATTGGGGAAAATTATAAATTGAACTAATGAAGAAATTATACATAATTCCTACTTAATTCTCATAATAATACAACCCCCTACACCATTTATACAAACCCTAACAACTAAAAATTTTGGAGGACAATTGTAATTGGGGTGTTAGGATCAACAAAATTTATGTAATTCTTAAACCCTATTAATGATTTCGAATATCAATAACACCACACCCCACGTAAAACCCAGAACATCCGCATTTTAAAAACTCAAACTTTTAGGTTAACGATTATAATGAAATTAGCTTTGACAAAGAACTAAAATTGTTTCAACAAGCATTATAAATTTGGGGAAAACTAATGAATTTATAATAACTCGCTTACTTGGGTCAAATTGATCACGAATCTAGCGTAAAATCCTTGAATTCTCCACGCGACAAGCCTATAAAGAATTCTTCAACTAACCTACCACCGCAAACCACGATGGAGATGGAGGAAAAGGGGAATAAGGAATACAGGGAGCTAGAGTGAGAAGACAAAGGGTTCGAATTTCAAATTTCTCTTTCTTACTAGAAGAGAAACTAAGGGTTCAAATTTCAGAGGGGAGAGGGAATGAGAAGACAGAATGATAGGTAAAGGGAAGAAAGAGAAAAAAAATAATCAAATTGTAAGTGCATGTGACCAAATACAAAATAAGGAGTACAAATACAAGGTGTACAATTCTTCCCAAATACACTCAAGAAATACGAGATACCTATGCAAACGGGCTGACAAAAAACATAACGGAAAGTGAGGTGGATTTCCACTCAAGCATGCGAATTTACCAGCTTGCCCTTGAATATACATTTGCTAATGCATCTCTATACTCCCTTTAGACAAGCTCTTAAAACTCAATGGGATAACATAGTATTGCTACTTCATTTAATAAATTTGGTGCCACATGAGCAATGACATGTCAAGACCTATTCTTCTACACTAAATTATCAAAATTCAATGTAAAATTATGATTGAAATATAATTTGAACCACTAAGCGTAAGAATGACATTTATTACCATCAAACTATCAATGCCACTTAATACTTATTGTTCTTAATAGAATTATTCAAACCATGCGATGTAACTTTCAAATTTGACTGTAATGCTCCTTATTTCGCAACTTTGTATTAACTACTCAATATTATTATTGTTTTATCATTTATTATTCAATTAATAAGCATATCTAGATTCCTTTTTTAATTTGAATTTCAATTTAATATTGAAATTTTGTAACCGTTAATGGGATCAAATATTTCCACCATAGGTTTTTTAGTTTACTCCCTTTAATGTGTAATCAAAGTGACTAATTAAACAATTAATATTGAATTTTTTTTAAAAAAAAATAACCACAATATAATAAGATATAAGCAATGACCGGAGGCATCGTTCGGGCCAAAAACTAGTGAATTTATTACAACTTATAAAATTGTGTAAATGTGCGGTTAAAGTTTTTCAAATTTGACTCACGATTGTGTAATAGGGTAAACAAATAGGGACACGAGTTGTACCCTTTGCCATAGTTCATGATGTTTTGGCTATTAGTCAATGTTGGTGCTACGTAGTACTCTATATTAAGTTTTGATATTTGCGTGCAACTAATTTATACTTAAAACTTTGTAAACAACTATTATCTCCACACATTACCAAACAAAGCTTAGTGGAGTTAGTAGAGAATTCATCTTGTAACTTTGATGTCATGAGTTCGAGCCCCACCAACTACAGTTGTTTGGGAGTAGGGAGATTTTGTTATCTCCCCCCCCCTCTTACTCTCAAGCATTGACATGCGGAGATGGACTGACTTAGCCTATGAGAGGAGCTGATTCAATAGGGTCCTTCATCTTACCTTAAAAAAAAACAAATTACTCTCTCCACCCATGCATAATATAGTGCCTATTTTTTGTTGCGACTTTTAAGGTGTGCATTTGACTATTAATATCTTTAGTTATGCAACCCAAGTGATAGTAAATATGTTATATTTTGGTCCTTTGGAATGATTTTATGTGTCTAGTTTAAGTCCTTTCTTCTTCTTCTTCTTGCTTTCTTAGTAGCCTTGATGGGTAATTCTTGTTGAGAATAAGGGAGCAAGTGAGAGAGGTAAAAGTCGTTCCTCTTGATCGTGGCATCTCAGATAAAAACATGAATATAACTACTGCTCTTAAATTCTCACTAAATTTCTTGATCATGATTACTCCTAGGAAAACTAGAATAGATCTGTTGCTCTCAAACCCTCACTAAACTCTTTGTTTGGTTTGTCGTAAGCTGAATATCCCTTTCACTTGCTGCCTTATTTTAGCCAGAATTACCACACCAAGGGTTACTAAAGCCACAAAGGTAAGCTCCAAGTTGGGCTTAAACCATCCAAGCAAAATACTACTCCGTACACCTTCTAAAGATGAGTCATTCATATAAAGATTAAACTCTAACTGCTAGTATATGTTTTTTAAAGGCAATTACAAGAACAAATTAATTACAGTATTAGCAAAAGTCTAAATTTATGAAGTACTACTCGTGTTGGTGCAATGGTGATTGGGACTGTACCGTATTTGGTAGAAAGAATCGTCTGTTCAATCCCCCACAACAATAATTGAGAAGGGAGAGGAACCTAATCATCTGAAAATAAACCCTAAAATTAGATAATTTAAAGACAAAAGGGTGAACTGGGTAGGAAAAAAAAAGGAAAAACAAAAATTAATAATCCCACTTTTTCAAATTTGTAAACAACCCTATCTTTAACCCCCCATTTGCTCAAAATGATCATTTTACTTATTTCCGTTTTAACAAGTTAGTTTTTTATATCTTTATTTTTATTTCTTTAATATCTCTTTTTACCTCCAACCTCCCAACTTATTTCAATGGTAACCCACCAGACCTCACTCTGAAACTCCAATAATCCTCTCACCTAACCATCGTGCCCCCAAATCTAACACCCCCACCACCCATAAAACCCTAAACAAACACCGAAACCAACCACCTCACCCCTCACCCTTGATTTGAAACCCGGCCCCACCCAAAGAACCCCCACCTCAGATTTAAAACCCAACCCCAACCAAACGAACCCATACCCCGAATTTGAAACAATTATAGAGTAAATTATAGTGAAAATCAATCAATTACATAAGTTAATATAAGTACACGTTGGAGATTAATTATAATAAAGACTACCCATACTAGTAGGTTTTAATTTCTTAGCTAAAGCATAAAGTATGTTAGATTATTTAAAGAAAAAAAATTGAGAATTATTGGGAAGGAATTGAAGGTGTAGTATTGGTAAATTGAAAAGGTGGGTGATATGATGTGAGCTGCAATTGTTGTTTGACGGGGAAGGAGGTGGGCCTGATGGTTGTTGTTCGTCGACAAGAAAGGGGAAGGGCGGCTAGGCTCGACAGAGGGAGGGGGGAGCTCTGATAGGGAGGAAATTGGGGAAGAGGAAAGAAGAAAATAGGTGACACGTGACAAGTTACTTTTAAAACAAAATACTAATTTTTCAAACCGGTAAAAAAATTATTTTGAGCATATACGGATTAAATTAAAGTGAGATTGTTTTTAGATTTCGATAAAATGCAATTATTTTGGGCAAAAGTAACAAAAATGAGATTATTAATTTCGATTTTTTTTTTTTTTTTTTGTTGATGTTGAGTCTTCGTGAGTTTGTGACCTAAGCCATTTTTCTTATTTGGTCTATATCTTCGACTTCTGACGTCCTTCATCCTGAAGTACTTGAACCAAACCGTAGCTCAGAGTTGAGTAGATTCCCCTCGCAACACTACCAAACATCATCCCGTGCTCCTCTTGTTCCTTTATATTTCAACACACCGTGCATAAATTCGTTCGATCCCGCACTCAGCTCACTCAATTCAAGAGAGAAAAAAATGGCGAAACCTCGAAAACCCCCCAAAAATGAAGCTTCCAAATCCGATTCTTCCTCCGCTGAAGCCCTCGTTCTTCATCAGAAGCTTTGTCTTTCGATTGACGTCAACAATAATCGAATTCATGGGTTTGTCTTTCTTTCTTTTCATTATCCCTAGTTTTTTCGCAATCCTTTGATTGTTATGTTGAAAATTGTTTCAATCCCTAATTTCTGGAAATTTTATGCTGAGTTGCTTGATTCTTGATTCAATTGTGTGAACTGTGAAGTGGAAAATTTTGTTTTAACATCTTTTGATGTATTGAATTATCGGATTTCAGATGTATTTTATTTTTACTGTTTTTCTGCAGAAATGTTGTTTGTTTGTTTTTTTTTTTTATTTTTTTATATAAATTCTTGCTGAATTACTTAATTAAGTGGTTAACGATTTGTGCTATGTAGTGCATAGTTTTGATTTGGAAAACGTACCGATTATTGTGCTAGGGTAATGACATGGGAGAGTTTGGGGAAATGGGAGGATTGCCCTCTTTTAAGTTCCATTTGTTTCGACGAAAAATGGTTTATCATGGAAAACAAATTTCAAGGGAAAACACAGGCGTAAAAAATAGTTTTCCTTGTTTGTTTCCGGGAAAGGGATGTGGCGTTCCTTCCTTCTAACATGAAAAATGTTTTCCTTTCATTGGAAAACTATTATCCACATTTGGGAAAAATATGCCACCCTTTACCAACCAAACAATATTGATTGGGAAAATCATTTTTCTAGAAAATATTTTGCATCATAACAATCGAAGCCTTGGATTAGGAACGCATTAGCATACATGTTACTGGAGTGGAGTGGGAGGATGTTGTGTTAAGGAGGTGGTATTATTATTAGGCTCTATTCTTCTTACTTTATTACCACTTATTTTAGGAAAAGATCTCACAAGTGAAGTTCAACGCTAATAACCCCCATAACTACAAAGTACAATATAGGATGTAAAGAACACAACAATAATAGATTGGATATGCTTGCTTAGGTTTTGGAATCTTTTGTACTTCCTTCGTTTCCTTAATGTTTTAACAAAGGGAGGAGTGCGCAAAATTTTAGGAAAATTGGAAAAAGAAAGATAGAGAACGGCAAAATCACAAACTTGTCCATAGGATTGCTAACATTAATTAAAGCAACAAGCATTAGCAGGGGTATATTGAATATTTGTAATATGAAAGGAGATTTTGTTTTTCCTGAAATGGGTTTGTTGTAATATTTTTGAAACTTTTTAATGAAGTAAACTTGGAATATTAAAGGAGCACAGGAAGTATGTGTTTGAAGTTCTTTATAGTGGTTTTATGGCCTTCTAGCAAAGAGCTTTTAGGGGAGGGGGGGGGGGTAGGGGGTTATGGCCTATAATATTATGAATTTTGACTAGATGGACAATATTTATGTTATGTATTATTATGAGAAAATACTCCCTTTTGCCTCAAATTACTTTCCCCATTTCACTATATTGGATGTTTCAAATCAGTTGATCCATTTTTATTTTTTTGGGGAAGTTTTTTTCTCTCTACTTTTATTTGAACTCCAGGCCCTATATAGGCCCATCCAATTTTCCTCTCTACTTTTTTCAACTATGTAAAACATGTGCCATCTTCTCATTGTTATTGGCCTTTCATTTATTGATCCCTCTAGGCCACCTTATTTTTCAAAATCTCCATGTTTGCTGCTCCTTATTTATTGACGATGAGGTCGTTGACTAGCACTTTGGTTGCCTTACAGTTATGAGGTGGTCTGTATTTCTGTTTTTTTAAAGCTAATGCTCATTTTTTTTAGTTCAGTAAGAGAAGAAATATGTAGGAGATGAGATAATGAGTATCTTAAATAGCATTTTCCTTTTATCTTATCTACTTCTTAAGGGGTATTTGGGTTAGCTAATGCTCAGTTTTTTTAAGGGCTGTTAACAGATTAAATGTGTACGAGATTTGTGACAATTAGTATCTTAAATAGCAGTTTCCTTTTATCCTATGTGCTTCTTAAGGAGTATTTGGGTTCACACACACACACACGCGCGTGCACACACACACACACGCGTGCGCACACACACACACACACACATCCCCGGTTAAGAGATTTCCTTTTATCCTACTTCTTAAGGATTATTTGGGTTGATACCCCCTGCCCCCCGATCTTCCATATTAGTTAATTATGGAGTATGTAATAAGTCATATTTGAACATAATGGTGATACAACTATACTGATTGTACTAGTAACTTACACGTTGTAACCCTGTAAGATGTTCCATATGTGCAATGTCTTTTTTTGAATGGGGAGAGTTCTGTTTTGTCTGCTCAAGAGAGTTTATATTTATTTCGCGACATTTGTATTTGCTTCTTCTAATTATAGTTACACCGAGTTGGAGATCGCTGTCCCTGATAGTGGAATTATTGGCTTGCATGCTGAGAATTTGGAGATCGAGAGAGTTTCTGTGGATGGTGAGCCAGCAGAGTTTGACGTTTTCCCTCACTATCAACCTGTAGAAATTGAGAATAGGTGGTGTTCTGTGTCATCTGTCAGTTCTGCCGCGGATGCTGCTGGTGTGACTTACATATCAGCCTTGGAAAGGGAATTAGTTCCGAACCTGCTGATCCTTTGCCGAAAGTCAATTGACACAAGGAACCAACAGGAGGGACAACTGATCCTAGATGGCCTAGAAAATGGGGGCCAATCAAACGGCGAAGTGAAGCAGGTTATATTTTTATGTTGTGATTTAGATGAGTTTTGCTCTGTGAAATTGCCTGTATGTACTGGACGCTCAATGTCTTATGTAAGCTGGTTCACTGTTTCGTCATGCAATTTTGAACTGAGATTTACACCCCCTTCCCCCACATTCACACCAATAAATATATTCTTTTTTTTAAAAAAGAAAAGAAAAAGAGGAAAAGTTAAATAGAACCTGAGGTTGCAGCATAGTGAGGTAATGAAATTTGCTGTTATTGTGATTGTTATGATGATCTATTTTCCTATCTCTCATTTGTTTTGCTTATAATATTGTTATAAGAGGAACTGGGAACACTAAAATTGAGCAACCATATCTCGAATTAGGTGTAACTTTTTAAAAGCAGGGAAGTGCTACCTTCTCCCACAAAGAAATGTCAATAGACAACCAAAGACCCAGCATTCTCTTCCATTAAATTGATCAGAAAACAGTGTTAAGTGGTTGACTTCCTGAAAAAATCAATTGATTATCATACCTCTAAACCTTTCATTGAGCCAAAAAATAGTGTTAAATTGTCAACTTCTTGAAATGGTAACTTATACATATTCTCTTGAACAACAACAACAACAAAAACAAAACAACAAAGCCCTAGGTGATTCGGGGTTGGCTAACATGAATCGTCATAAGGAACCGTACGATATAAAGAAAGGGACATAACAAGATAATCAGTTGATAGAGTTTGAAAAAAGGCAAGTGAAGTGAGAAAAAAAGAGCATCCAAGAAAGATTGATGGAGTTTTAAAAAAGAACTGAGAACAAAATTCAAGAAAGTTTTAAAGAAGTGGTTAAAATGTTGGAGTATAAAAACATAATTTGAGAAAACTTTAGCAAAGAAAATCAATATAGTTCATAAACAGTAGTGGGATAATTTTTTTTTTTAAGTACATACTAAGATAATTTTTCTTTAAAAAATGTATAATCATGACTTGCGGTTGACGCGAATTTTCTCCCTCCACTCCGCTTTATCCAACACCATATTTTCCTCGATCCCCAAAGCGCACTCATGTCATAAACGTCTTCTCTTGAACGATTCTGTTTATCTGGTCAATAGTATTGAACTATTTCTCTGTATGGCATATTTCAACTTATTGGTTTATACTTCATAGTCTATAGGTTTGTTCTGGCACAAGCTGTCATATAATGAGGTGTGTATTTCTGATCTCTCATGTAGGTTAATGTTGGGTGCAGAATGTAAGGTTGATTAGAATTGACTACTGGGTGGAGAAGGCAGAAGCAGGAATGCACTTTAATGATAGTGTATTACATACTAATAGCCAGATAAGACGTGCACACTGCTGGTTTCCTTGTATGGACGACAGTTTACAATGCTGCTGGTAACTGTCTGAATCTGTTTACAGTTTACAATGCTCACGTTTTACAGGAGCAGATTATACTAATGCTATTTATTTATATTCTTACCCCAGCTATGATCTAGAGTTTACTGTTCCTCATAACTTTGTTGCTGTTAGCAATGGAAGGTTACTTTATCAGGTATGACATTGAGAACCTTTTGTTGAATTTTTATGTGTTTCGTATGTTTTCTGCAGTATGCTGCAAATTTTGATGCCTGTTACTGTTATGCTCTGTTTCTGTGGCATTTTGGGAGACCTTTTATCATGTTGTGTATGTTATCCTCTAAAAAAGGATTATTTGAGGACCCAATGATGGATAGAATATTTATGAGGATTGATGGGGTGGAAGGGGGTGCGTTTTACTCTTATGAAGTTTTGTCTGCATACCATTCCTTTTTAATTCTCTCTGTCTCTTTAGAGGCTTAGAGAGTTATATTTGTGGTCTCTATAGGTTGTAGGGTGCTCTTGGTTTCAGGATCTTCCATGTCCAAGCACATTTCCTTAAAAGGGTAATTGGCTTCGGCATTCCACTAGTAGGCTGAAGTGGTACTTGGTGTAATTAGCACACTTTTCTGTTTGGATTTTCTGTAGAGTACAACTTGTCCTCTTAATTTGGTATTGCCCTAAAATTTTTTATCAACATTCTTTTTTCTAAAAATATTCGCCTTTATTGATTCTTAATTGATACTTAATGTCATAGCTCCTTGTATATGAAATATCTGCTTCATATTCTCAGTGTAGATAAATTCCATTTGGAAAAAAATATTTTTTTTGATTTATAAAATGTTATCATCACATGATGTAAGTAAGAAGAGATGTAATGAACTAGATAATTTTTTGTAATTGTTTCTTTTATGCTTGCCGGGTTGCTGATTTATTTATTTCTCTAAAAACTGGCCTGCGGTGCTTTATCAATTCAAATTAGATGAGCAATGAAAATATGAAGCTTCTAAGGGTGTATACATTTTGAATTTCATCATGTGATCTGTTGAGTGAATTACATTTTGGCAAGATTGGTTACACAGCAGAATACCCAACAGAAGTATTCTGCTCGCCTGTTGTTGATTTACAACCATTTGATTTGTGGCAATCCAGACCGTTTTTGCTTATCTTATGCTGTTGATTTTTATGCTTGACCTCCTGATGCTGGTTTTCAAATTTGATAAATACTATTAAATTGGATGTAGGTTTTAAGCAAGGATGATCCTCCTCGTAAAACGTTTGTATATAAGTTGGATGTCCCAGTCTCTGCACAGTGGATATCTTTGGCAATAGCACCATTTCAGATTCTTCCAGACTATCATAATAGCCTTCTTTCACACATGTGTTTGCCGGGAAATGTATTAAAACTTCAAAACACTGTGGGATATTTTCAGAGTGCGTTCAGGTAAGTCAACAAATGCTTGTACAAAGTTGTTATTAAAATAAAAGTAAAAAATTGTAAACAGCTTGCTGTCCCTGCCCCAACCCTTATCTGCGGAAAAGACATTGCCTAATTTTAAGTCCAACTACTTTGTTGTTTTTCCCTCTCTTATTTCCCCAGGTCAATGAGCTTGTTTTGAAAAGACACCTTATGTTTTTTCATTTTATTCTCTGTAACGCTATTTCTTCTCCTTTGTTTTGGCAGACATTATGAGATTTACCTCAAATGTCCATTTCCATTTGGGTCATATAAGCAAGTGTTTATAGCTCCAGAGATGGTAATATCCTCTGTGACTTTGGGAGCTTCAATGAGTATCTTTAGCTCTCAAATCCTTTTTGATGAGAAGGTTATAGATCAGGTCAGCCGCTCACTCATATGGTTCATATGCAGAAATTTGTATGTTCTCGGTACTATTGACTTGTCTTATTTTGGTTGTTAGTAGACTTTGTACATCTATTTTGTGTCTGTTTTATAAGAATTTGAATAAAAATAAAAGAAGAGATAAATTTGACAGCACTAATTATACATAGTAAGGCCTATAGGGAAAATCACCATCCACTCACTAGTAAAAAAACCGAAGTATGTGCGAAAAACCCACCACCTTGGGAAAGGGTTTAACACTTCAACTTGCTCTCTAAATTACAAGTAGAAATTTTTACTAGTCTTGCTCCTTTTGTTTTATTTTGGAATCTTCAAACTATTTACACTTTGAGGCAATCTTCTAGATTATTGCCAGTATGTATAAAAAAGGAATTTATGTCAAAAACCACCTTTTAAATCCTTGTTTTTGTGAAAAACCATCTTGAAAAAAACATGTTGTAAAGACCACCGATTTTAACTCCGGTGGCTTGAGATAGATCAGTTTCAAAACAACAGGTTAAGGGTTCGAATCCTTATTTTTTTGTTGTAATTCACCACCTACTGCAGGAATATGAGCTTTGACTATAAATGATTCAATTGTTATTTGTTCTGGTGGCAATTTACAACAAAATTTTTTTGAGTTAGGTGTTTTTTTACAACATTTTTTTTAAAGGTGTTTTTTAAGCATAATCAAATATTTAAAAGATGGTTTCTTACAAAGTTTTCATTTCAAAATAAATATAGTCACGTAGGTTTTGTTTGATTTGTGTCAATTAGATTTTTAAAAATATCATAACTTTTACGATTTTATAAGTAGGAAAAATTGACAAAAATAATCTCAACTTTGCCTCATTTGCCCAAAATATTCCCAATGAATTTCCTTTCAATAGTCCCAATCAGAGATCCAACTTGTTATAAGAAGTTTTTTTACACGTGTCAGCATATGATTTGATAAAAAAAAAAAATTAAAATTCAAAATTTAAATATTAAAAAATTAAAACAAATTTAAGAATTTAGTTAAGAAAAATAATAAAAAAAATTAATTAATTAACTTAAACTTGCACCGCCACCCAGCGAGGTCACCTTTTAGCCAGGCCGTCGTCCAGACCGACGACACCAACTCTTTTCCCTTCTTCCCATCCCTACACCCCTACCGATCCCCTTCCTCGAATCCACTTCGCCAGTTCTCCATCAACTAAAGAACCCACCCGCAAACCTCACCTTGCCGACTACGAACCCTCAGCCTTACCCCAGCCCTTTTCGGTTTCGTGGTTATAGAAGGGGTTGCGAGTTGGAGTTAATTAGTTGCAAAAAGGGTTTGCGGTTGCAGTAAAGTGTCGCAGCGGTGAGCGGGGACACTAGCGGGAGGATTCAAGGCGACATTGGGGCTGGGTCGGCTGGGTTGGGTTGTTGGGTTGTGGCGAGCGCTGGTGGAGGTGGAGGGAGGGAAGGTGAATCATAAAATTGTTTTTAAAATAATTAATTTTTAATTATTTCAAAGTAGTTAGTTTTAAAATATATAGTTAATTGTTAATTTGTACTAATAATTTTTTAACCAATCATGTAATTACATGTGTAATTACTTTTCAACAAGTTACCAGTCACTTGGGACTATTGAAAGCAAATTCATATAAATTTCGGATTATTAAAAAATAATCCAAAGTTGGGCTTATTCTTGTCAATTTTTCCATTTAACTAAGAAAAATTTGCAAATTACAACCATTTAAAGTTTGTATTTTGTAAATTGCAGCCCCTTTTTTTTTTAAAAAAATTGCAAGTTGCAGCACAAAATTCTTATAAATAGTAATTGCAACCCAATTTAACTTTTTCATCGATTGTGTGTCGAAAAATATTTGGTTAAGGATTTAGGGGCCATTTTAGAACTAAGGGTCCGAATTGAGCTCGGAATTAGCAACAAAATAACGTAAGTGCTACGTTTTGCGTAACAAAAATGTATTGATTTGTATGCAACTATTTTTTGCTGTAAAAACGAGGCACTTATGTTAATTTTTTGTCAATTCCGAGCTCAATTTGTATCTTTAAGGACTAAAATGGCCGCTAAAATCTTAACCGAACATTTTTCGACTTGTTAACCGATAGAAAAATTGAATTAAGTTGCAATTTACAATTTATAACAACTTTTGGGTTGCAATTTGCATTTTTTTTTAAAAATGGCTGCAATTTGCAAAATATTAATTTTAAATGGCTATAACTTGCAAATTTTCCTTTAACTAATATGTAATTAGATATATAAATTGTCAAACATGTGCACCGACAAGTGACATATGAAAAAACTTGATAAAATTTTTGAAAATAATATTGTAACATGAAGGGAGTGGACAAGATTAAAAAGGAAGAGAGAGGGGTAATGTTTCATACTTGTCCATTTGATTGCAAACATTAAGTAAAACAAAAAATATTAGAAAGTATGAGTATATTTGTAATTGTAGTGTAAGAGAATAAATTTGTTTTCCTATAATAGGAATGTTGCAATATCTTTGAAATTTCTTATTTTCCTATAGAGTTACACGTTGCAATATCAAAGAAATGGAGGAAGTATATAAGATATTAAGGAATTAATAGGTGAATTGGAACTAAACATTTGGAAAATGATTAAATCCCACTAATGATAAATCATGACTTCTATGGATTTGTTGTGATGAAATTTATCTTAAATGTTATGCTCCATGGTCATGATTAGAAAGTATGAGTATATTTGTAATTGTAGTGTAAGAGAATAAATTTGTTTTCCTATAATGGGAATGTTGCAATATCTTTGAAATTTCTTATTTTCCTATAGAGTTACACATTGCAATATCAAAGAAATGGAGGAAGCATATAAGATATTAAGGAATTAATAGGTGAATTGGAACTAAACATTTGGAAAATGATTAAATCCCACTAATGATAAATCATGACTTCTATGGATTTGTGGTGATGAAATTTATCTTAAATGTTATGCTCCATGGTCATGATTATAGGCTATTTTTTACTGTTTACATATTATACATACGTTGATACATGTATATTTACATTACATGCGTCATATGTGAGCAATGTATTCACTACTAGAAAATAGCTTATCTACGAGTTTTCCTGTTGCAAATGAGCTTAATTTGGTCGTAAAAGGGCTTTTATAACGAGAAACTCATGGTCATCCGTTGTCGCTATAGGCTTGGTTGTGAAAAGTTGACAACTAGTTTAGAAGACTCGTCGTAATTAAGTTTTTGTGACCAGGTACAAAACTTGTCGTCATTGTACACATTCACGATTAGATTACTTGTCGTAATTATTGTTTCTGATAATTTAATGTTAATTACTTACGACGAATAAATTTTATAATTACGACCAGATTTCTTGTCATTTTCCTCATCGACAACACAAGATCACCCCTTTGTTGTTACAATTTTAACATCCACTTTTGTGGTCGCATTTTTTTATATATAAATTTTAAGGAAATTTTGATTTTTAACACCTTAACAAAATACAAAAATGGTTTTTAACACTACAAAAAAAAATTTATTTTAACACCGTAAAATGTTCACCAAATTGGATATTACCATCACTTTCCAATTTCCATCAAAATATCCGTTAAGTGGGGTCCATTGTGCCAGGTGTTGCTATATTATTAGTTTAAAAAAAAAGAAAAATTAAAAATTAAAAAAAAAACAAAAAACAAAAACCCTAAAACTAACCTAGCCACCCCAGCCCCGCGGCGCCACCAAAACCCCACCAATACCCCCCCGTTTCCAAGTCAAAGCCATCGAAAAACCCCCTCCTTCCCTTTTCCCCTCCCAGAAACCAAGCATCACACCCCAACTTCCACAATTTTGGGCCGTTCAATTTTTAAATAACCACAAAACGGCCACTTACGGTTGAAATCGACCGTTTTATGGTCGGAATCAACCATTTCTGCTCTAATTCGGCCGATTTCGACCACTTGCAGCCGTTTTCGGTGGCCATTTTTATGGGGTCGTGGGCTTTGGGGGAGGGCTGCCGGCTATGTTACATGGACTCGGCTATGTTACATGGTCTCGGCTACGTCCGTGTCCGAGTGTCCAATTCGTCAATTTCCAAAATTTTAGGACACAGGGACTTTGTCTTATATATAGACACGGGTGTGGGGACACGACACTTTCATTTTGTGAAAAAAAAATATTATAAGTAAAAAAAGTGAAGAGGTTGAGTGGTTAAAAAACTAATAAATATAGTCACTAGTCAGTAACTACAACTTTCTATCAAATCAAAATATTAAAAGTAAAAAAAGAGGTTGAGTGGTTAAAAAATAAAATACAACCAAAATAAAGAGCATCACACAGCTGTCCACCCTTTTGCTTTATCAATACAGCTGTCCCACACTCCCACTTACCACAAAACCTCATTCTTATCACTTTATCAGCCCTCACTCCTCAGTCTTTCGCTCTCTTCTTTCACTCTCTATTTCTTCATCATGCATTCATGTGGTTGCTACACGTCGGCAACAATAGAGTCCCACAAAACTCCCACGAATTCAAGCTGTTTTTTGGGTTTAAGTTGTCTATCGGTCGAAAATGTGGAGTTTTTATACTATGGTTTTTCCCCTTCCCCCCTCTCAGAAGTGTCCGAGTTCAAATACCCGAATATGGCATGAATTTCGTGTTCGTGTCCGTATCGTGTCGTGTCGACACGGACACTTCGGGATTTCAGCCGAGTCCGGTGAACATAGGCTGCTGGTTTTGGGGAGAGGAAAAGGAAGGGAAGGGATTTCCCAGTGTCTAGGGCTGGAAATGGGGCTGTTAAGGGGACGGAGCGGTGGAGCTTGACGGTGGGGGTGGGGTGGCTGGGGTAGTTTTAGTTTTTTTGTTTTTTAAATTTTGGACCAGTTATATGCTGACACGTAGGTATGGTGAGCTCTTCTAAGGGATTCTATCCATGAATCAGTTATGTGGCGGTAAAAGCCAATTTTTAAAATTTTTTGGTGGTGTTATTTTTTTATTTTTATTTTTATTTTTTATGGTGTTAAACTAAAATTGGAATTTTTCAAAAGTATTGATCTAACTAAAATTAGTGGATTTGATCAATCGACAAATTAGAAGATTCAATGAGCATGTTGATCATTGTCTAGCCTTCAAAAGTTGTTCCAATAATATCTATTATCTCCTGCAATTCATTGAAACCCATGTAATATTTAGGATGGACAATCAAACATTGTATAACTATTAAAATGACAACTAATGTTTTAATGATTTTTATGCACTTGATCGAAGACTATAAAGCATGCATGTATTGTTATAACATATAGATAATGATGGAAGAAACCTGACATGAAACAGTATTAGTAAAATATTTAGCATGTCATGTACGAAGTATTAATCTTTTTTTATCAAAGTGCACATAACATAAACAAAGTCGATGCAACTTTTTATATTAGTACTATTTATCACTTCAAGTTTCAAGTTCAAAAAGAAAAACAACAATAGATAAGTATAGACAAAAAGGTTAAAAAAAAGGCATGGAATGTGGTATATAGGGAAATCTGACAAAATATTGATAAAAAGGCAAAAAACTTAACCTCACATGCTAATAAAATTTAGAACAGAGTAGCTAACAAAGTCCCACAAAATTAAAGACAAAAACAGTATCACACCTAAAGTCAAATTTGTTCAATTACGAAATCTAGTTACTGTTGAATGGCATAATTTGGCATGGTTCAATCATATTTTGCAGATAATAGAAGATGAGAAGAAAAATGTATTCCCTTTGTCCCATAACGTAGCTCCTGTTTGTGTTTTTTCACGAAATTTAAGAAATAGGAAGAGAAAGTATATGAGTACATTAATAATAGGAAAATTTGCAAATTGCAGCAATTTAACGTTCGTATTTTGCAAATTGCAGCCATTTAAATTTTTTTTTTTTTGCAAATTACTGCCCAAAAGTTCATATAAATTGTAAATTGCAACCCGATTCAACTTTTTCATCGGTTTACAAGTTAGAAAAATCTTCGATTATGGTTTTAGAGGCCATTTTAGCCCTTAGGGGTCCGAATTGAGCTCGGAATCAACAAAAAAAATAACGCGTCTATCTTGTTTTGCGTAACAGAAATGTACCGATTTGTGGAAAACTGTAAATATGAGACACTTACGTTATTTTTTTTTTGCTAATTCCAAGCTCAATTCGGGCTCCTAAGGGCTAAAATGACCCCTAAAACCTTAACCGAAGATTTTTTAACATGTAAACCGATGAAAAAATTAAATCAGGCTGCAATTTACAATTTATACGAACTTTTGGGCTGCAATTTGCAAAAAAAAAATTTAAATGGCTGCAATTTGCAAAATATGAATTTTAAATAGCTGCAATTTTCAAAAGTGCAATTATAGACAAAAGTTAGAGAGAGAAAGTGGAAAAAAGTACATGGCATGTGCAATATTCAAGGGTAATTTAGGAAGTACAATAAATATAGTTAAAGAAGTGAGGGTATAATAGCCTTTACATACTATCTTAAAATAGAAACAGGAATTTGGTGAATTATTAAAATGTATGATTAGATTGTAAGACCCACTATATGGGATCACTCATACTTCGTATAAAAGTATGGCCTACATATAAATTACATAGAACGAAACAGAACAACTCTCTTACTTTACTACATAATAACATATAGAGAAGACAAGTAAAAGTTAAGCTCTAAAGACATTCATCCAATTTTGCTTATTTTGAAGGTATGTAGATACCTATTCTTGTTATAAAACATAATTTTTCTTAAAAGACGTCATATCACATATACTCGGTTCCTACTAATATTTTATTCTTTGTTCTTCCCACTACAAAACATAATTGGTTGAATTAAGTCAAAATTATACTCTCTCCGTCCCCTTTTGATAGTCCCTTATGGTCAAATTTTAGTCCCAAAATATTCACCCCATTTGCCTTTTTTGTAACAACTATTAATATTAATTTTTTACCAAAATTCCCTCTAATTTGCAATAATATTTGTGCAAATTTAACTTTCTCATGTAAATTTTGTTTTCCCTTGTACTTTTATCACTTTCTCTCTCTATTTTTTTACATACCCAATGTCAATTTACTTTTTCAATGTACTTTAACTATTTTTTCTTGTGTTTATTAATTCCCGTGAAAAATGTCCATAAGGGACTATCAAAAGGGGACGGAGGGAGTATTTAACAAAGGAAGTAATTTTTGGTTTCCTCAAACCTTTATTTTATTCAATTTTACTTTCTTTTCTAAAATTCTCACTATAAAAACCCCAATCTCCCATCTCTACTGCTAATTTCTAAAACAAAACCCAAAACAATGATAAATTTGACTAACTCATTATATACTCTAGATTATATCGCCCAAAAAAAGCAGTTAAACCCATATAAAAAATCAAATCTGAGAAATGAAAACAGAAAAATAAATAAAAAATTAAACCCACATAAAGATGATTAAAAGAAAATAAATGAAAAATTAGGCTTACCTCTACAGATTTTTACACGACAATCGCAATTCAACACTTAGGAACTTGGAACAATTGATCAAATTATATCCAAAATTTGTACCTTTGGAGTATAAATCTACTAAAATACTAAACAAATTTAAGATAAGTAAGGAAAATACAATCTCAACAAGTAGAATCACTTTTGACTACTATCATACTTTGAAGAGAGAGAATGAAAAAGTGACGATGATGTAATGACAAAGGAAACAAAGGGTTTCCTAACTTTTCTTTACATTTTCAACTTTTATTTTTATTTTTAATCGAAGTTGTATTGTCATTTCAGGCATTTAGTTAAAAAAAAATAAAGTTTTATTTAATAAACACAACCACTAACTAGCTGTACTTTATTTTGATATGGTTGTAATTGTTATTGCAAACCCGGGAAGAATCCCGCCAATCCCGCCTTACTTTTGGCAAAATTTTGGTATTTTTGGCGACGAGTATATTGACAAAGTACAACGATATTTCCAAATGGTCATAAATAACTATACTATTCACGACCAATTAATAAACTCGACATTGATACTGATTTATTGTGACGAAAAACTTGATGGTTGTGAATTTTGGATGTAAATAGACCTTTTTCCAGTAGTGATTATTTTTAGTGTGCAAGTATCTCTTGTATTTTGTCCTGCTTGTATATGTGTGTGCCCGTAATCATAAGCTTATGCATCTCAACAACTTTTTTCAAAAAATTCATCTAACAATTGCACAAACCCCTTCTCTTCAATTTATAAGAGATTTATGCGGTAAAACCTGTGTTTTTTTTTAGTTCCAAAGCACTTCTGCATGAGTAAACGCTGTTTTGTTTTTTCAAGTCAAATTTAGTCAGGATATAATTTCATGCTAGTACAAATCAGGTGAAGTGTGTAGGGCCTAGATTACTGGTTGTTAAATAGATCAAAAGTCCATTTAGAATAAAATTATCATAGATATTGATATGCTTTATAATGTAATTTAATGGACTTAAATCAAGTCCTTGAGCTATGTAAAGTATCAATAATGGATTTTCAGCCATTTATTCCGACTTTTGAGAAACGTCATTCCATAGTTTATGTTATTAACTCTCTCCATGATATTCTATATTAAACTTTAAACTCATATGATGTCTGCTACAGATTTTGAGAACTTATATTTTCTGCATATAACAAGTTAGATATGCTCAAGTGTATTGTAAAAGAATTACTTCTAGAATTTAATGATGAAGCGGAATTTTCTAATCTGTCATTTCTGGCTGCAAAGGCCTCAGAGTGCTAATATTCGTTGATTTCATGTATGTTTATTTATTTATTTGTTTATATTAATAGTGTCAAGGGGTGGGGCATTTGAGTAAGCTATGTGAAGTTTATAATACAAAGTAATGTATCTGATGGAGATCCACGTTATCTATGGCTTTCCATGCCAGTTAATATTATGTTCTGTAATCTTGCTCGAAGAACGCCTTGTAGCTGATTAATTTACTTTTTTGTAGCATAGTTTGAAATGTCTGTATCTGGAACACACCTCCACACTCTCATATTTCCGTCTTGATGTGTTATTTAAATCATGCAGACCATAGACACAAGGATCAAGCTTGCTCATGCCCTTGCAAGACAGTGGTTTGGGGTATATATAACTCCTGAGACACCAAATGATGGTAGGTAGCTTAGATATAAAATCATTAGTCTGCTTAAATGGGTCCTTATTTTTGGCATGTTTTTTGTTGTGCTGGCAGAGTGGTTGGTTGAGGGCCTTGCTGGTTTCCTAACTGATACATATATTAAAGAATTTCTGGGAAATAATGAAGCACGCTACAGACGGTATAAGGTTAGTGCTACTGTAGAACTCTTTATTTTGGTTTTCATCTCTGTTTCACACTTCCACCAGAGTATTTATATTCTAATCAAATTATGGAGTTTATATTTTTTTGTGGATAACATCTACTCCATTTCTGTATTTGGAGTTCTGCTAGTCTCTCTAAGAGTTATTTGGTGGACCTTGAGACCGTCTAGAAGCTGAGTACAATGATAGCTTAAATGTTTTTTCAGCATTCATCATATTTATCTGTCAGGTATATCTGTATTAAAGCTACATATGCCTGCTTATTGATGTGAAGTTTGGTACTTTTCTGTAAATACAGGCAAATTGTGCTGTTTGCAAGGCTGATGATAGTGGGGCAACAACTTTGAGTCCCTCTAGCTCTCCGAAAGATCTTTATGGTACCCAGTCAGTTGGTCTTTATGGAAGAATTCGTTCATGGAAATCTGTAAGTGAGCTTAATAGTTTATACGTGTACCTGATTAGATTGGACCTATTAGGTTATTTTGCATATATGCTGTTGTACATTTCTTATGTAAATTATTTATATATTTTTTGTTAATAGGTGGCTATCCTCCAAATGTTGGAAAAGCAGATGGGTCCAGATTTGTTTAAAGGGGTAAGACACTGCTCTTATATGTCTATGGGTCTTCTGGTATTCTATATCTGGATGTTATTATAGATCTTAGCCCCAGTTTTGAACAACCTATTCCAGCAGTGTAATAGTTTCTGGTCTATATACTGACTGTTGAAGCAATGCATGTTTGCTCTTTTTTTGATTTGTTATGTTGCTGTTACTATTGCATGTATGGACTTGTGTTCTATGAGGTCACATGTCACAGATGAAGTGGCTGCCACTGCATCTTGTAGATTGCTGGTCTGGAACAATCTTTCTGAAGAGTATTATATTGCCATGTTGTGGTCAGTCTTCCGTAAGTTATTAGTTTAGAAACAGGGACTGGTAGTCTAATAATTGCTCCGAGCACTAAGTTAGCTAATAAATCCAGCCCATCCATTTAGGCCCAAATCACAATGATTTGTCGGAGAATTTTTGTTTTCATATCCTTATGCTTAGTACTAATTACATACATACTAAAAAAAATACATGGAAATGATTTTAGTTCTTTTATATCTGTTCTCCGAATTATTTAAAGAGTTAACTTTAGGTCTTATTTTTTCTGAATTTTTAAGTGTTACCTTTACTTTATAGTTCCAACATTCCATTCTTTTTGAATAACATTAAGACCTGTCAAATAAGACCCAAAGCCCAAAGTAAATTAGCCCTAACTGACTCTAACACCTGACTTACATGTCAAATAAGACCCAAAACCAAAGGTATAAATTTGACGTAATTCAGTTACATGTTTTCCAGCAAAACAATGAGTAAATTCCAAAATTTCATTCCTTTACTTTATCTTATTAGTTCAGACATTAGTTCTTAAATGATTTATTGCTAACTCCCTAGAGCTTGGTCTAATTTTGCTTTACAATTGCAGATTTTGCGAACTATTGTTTCCCGTGCTCAGGATGCTACTCGTTCACTGAGGACGCTTAGTACGAAGGAGGTATTGTGCATTACTGTTCTTAAGCATAGTCATCACCTATCCACTAGATACTTGAGTTGTCTAGCTCATCTTTTGTGATGAAATATGACTTATGTTTTTTATTATTTAGTTATATTGTGCTTTACTTTGCTTTCACCTTTCATGGTCATTGATGTTATTTTCAAATGCAAGATGATTATAATTGTGTTTGCAGTTCCGGCATTTTGCCAATAAGGTTGGTAATCTTGAACGTCCCTTTCTTAAAGAATTTTTTCATCGTTGGGTGGAGACTTGCGGCTGCCCTATCTTAAGGTATATATGTGATTTCCCTATAAAATTTTATATCGATAAGTTTTCTTATTCTCCTAACAATTAGTGTTTTCATGCTTGTTTTAATTCTTTCTAAGCCACAATTTTTTATTTTTTATTTTATTTATTAATTTATTTTTTATCTAGGATGGGGTTTTCTTACAATAAACGCAAGAATTTGGTTGAATTGGCTGCTTTTCGTGAGTGCACAGCTACTCCAAGTGCAATTACTGCTAATACAAACAGTAACATGGATTCTGAAAATCGGGAAGGCGATAATGGCTGGCCTGGCATGATGACGATTAAGGTTCACGAACTTGATGGTACACATGACCATCTCTTACCTATGGCTGGTGATGCTTGGCAGCTTTTAGAAATTAAGTGTCATTCCAGGCTTGCTGCTAAACGTCTCCAAAAGCCAAAGAAGGGTTCCAAACCTGATGGCTCTGATGACAATGGTGATACCGTTACCACTGTGGACATACGCTCTGGGTACTATATATACTAATTTCTGCTAAGGTGGCAAGATTACCGGTCATCATTTTTGTCTGACTATAATTATGCTTCTTGCAGGACAGATTCTCCCTTGTTGTGGGTCAGAGCAGATCCGGAGATGGAATATTTAGCTGAAATTCACTTCAACCAGCCTCTACAGTTGTGGGTAAGAATTATAATACCTCTTTAATAAGTAACTTTGTTAAATTCTTTTGAGTCAGTTGCTTAGGGTTTTTGTCCATGACATGATGTGAATAACTTACTGAAGTTGGTGCAAAAGTCAGCAACCCTTGTCTGCATGCAATTTGTTATTGAGGTTTTTTGTTTTTTGTTTTTTTTTTTTTTTTTTTTTTTTTAATATTATTATTATTTAAAATAATTAAAATCTATTTTCATGTACCAATAGCTGAATAAATTAGTTGTGATATCTTAAGCAAGCCTTAAGGATAATCAATTTTTCTCATGGAGTTGCATTGGAATGATCAAGCTACTCAATCCTTCCATTTATGGTGTTTGAAAATGTAGGCTGATACTCTATGTACGGCTTATATATATCGGTCCCTAAGTTATGAAACATATCTCTTTTGAGTCATATGGGGACGTTACCTATTTTTCAATAGGGTTGATAAAGATTGGGCTGATGCTACATACTAATGTGCTGATATAAAAATTCATACTGTGAGAATTGGGCTCATATACACAACTGCAATCAGGATCAAATTTACAAATTGAATCTCTGGCTTGGATGATGAGATAGACACCTAATTGTAGAATTCAAGAAATTCAGAGCCCTCACTTGTTTTGCTTTAGAAACAGTTCCAATGGATGAAAAGATTCAGGGGCGTTTGGTACGAGGTATTCAGGGAAGGGTAAAGATAGGGGAATTAACACACTTGATTCCCTTTTCTGTTGTTTGTGGCTTGAGTGTTTATTCCCGTACCCTTTTTGAATACTCCTACCAAATGTCCCTGAAACTTTTTACCCACAGGAAATGTTTATATTGCAAAACGAGTTGGCTGCTACAATCTTTTGTCTAGTGAGGAAAAATTGATTTGACAACTAACAAAGTGACAAGTATTTGCATGACATTTGGGAAAAAGAAACACTCCCTCTGTTCTTGATAAGTTTTTCTTTTCTTTTTTTTTTTCCCTCTCTTTTGAAAGACTGTTCCTTTTAAGTTTGATATTCTTAAAGTATTCATCGAGAGGAATTAAACAAAATCCCACTTGACTATGTTTTTTTCCTTACATATTGGAAATAATTTAGAAGATTCTATTAAGTTGTGATTGTGTCAAGATTCCAAATGGAAAATACATTTAGGAACAAGGAGTACTTAATAAGTATTTGCATGAAAATGAAAAAAAAAAAACACATCCGAGAAGTTTTAAAATAAAAATATAGCTAAAATTAATAGAACTGCTCTAAGGACTAGAGGTAACATATGATGCCTAAAATACTCTCTTGATATTACCATAATTGGTAGAGAGATCTAATTGCTTTTGTAAACAGTGATATTATTTTGGATTGGTGGATAGTCTCCTATTTTTCATTTCAAAAGCCTTGTTTTCAATACGTTGTAACAATCACTTGTATTTGTGATAAATGAACAAATATTAAGAACTGAGACAAAGGACAAGTTGTCCTCGTGATAGCAAAAAAAAAAAAAAAAAAAAAAAAAAAGTAATCCAAATTCTGTTGGATATTCCCCTATTTTTGTAATTTTTAAATCCCGCACTGCCTTTGCTGCAAATAAGCTATTCTTCACAACTATTAAAGTTTTATTGAAAATTCGTGCATTCTGCTCTATTCGCAAACACTAAATTGTCTTAAAATCACTTTGCCACATTTTCTCCTTTGCCTTTCCATAGTCCATGTTACAGACTTGCAGTAGATCTATGGGATGCCTCTAAATATTGTTAGCCATCTCACGATTACTGACGAAGGAAGAGGTGTGGGCTCGTCTCATTATTAGCATGACACAAGTTCACAGCAGTACAGCACACACTCATATGGCGAAGTTGCCATTGGAGCTCTTCTTTGCAGTATATCATTTGTGTTGATTCTCCCTAACGCCAACGTCCTCACAAATGCCGTCACCTTAATAGGACCTTTGGCCTTCCTGATAAATTAATGGGCCGGGAAAGTGTGGGGGGTGTTCCTTGCCGGTTAAGAAAGGCAGGCCAAAAAAAGAATTTAAAGATAAGGTGCTTGATGTATCCCCCAACCCAATCATTTCCAAGAATCCTCTTCCTCAGAAAATGGAGGTGTTAATTATATAATGGAGGACAATATATATATATATTTTTTAATGTTATTGATGGGTTGTCTTGGGAATGAAGCTTTTGCATGAGAGGTGACTAGGAGAGTGCGACATAGCACATACATAATGGTATATTAAAATATATTGGTATAGATGCCTTCAAGCCTGATCTGTCTGACATAATATTTAATATCCTTGTAGATTAATCAGTTAGAGAAGGACAGAGATGTTGTTGCTCAAGCTCAAGCAATTGCAACACTGGAGGAGCTATCAAATATCCCCTTCCCTGTTGTCAACGCTCTGAATAATTTTATTGCTGATTCAAAGGTCAGCAGGAATCTTGTTGCTCTTATATCTTTGCTTCAATTATAGTTTTATGAAAGTCATCTTTAGCTTTCTTTTATCTTGAAGGTCTTCTGGAGAGTCCGGATTGAAGCGGCGTTTGCACTGGCAAAAGTTGCATCAGAGGTATATTTAGCCTTTCTCTCTTCACCATAATAAACCGATGTCCTTGGGGGAGTTCAGATGGAGGCCAAAAGTCTTTTCATTCTCTTGTCCATATTATTTCAGTTCTGAAGTAGAATTTGGCCTGTGCATTCCATGTATTTTCTAACATAGCCTTGCGTGAAACCAATATTATTATTGCTGATAAGTTTATGTGCCTGGAGTCATTTGTGTGAAATTTGTTTAACCTGTTGTATCCTTGTTATTTTTTGTACTTCAATATTTACTTTCTCCTTAGATAGGTTGACTTGTTTGATGGGTTTTAGGTCATGCAAGAACCATACGTGGAAGACACTCCCCAAATTAGGGATCTATCTGATTAATAACAAGATTGGAGCTTCTGACACACACAAAAAAAACATTGGTGGGACTTTGTTCAGAATATGAGCAAAGGCTGAATTATCAATGCCATTTATCTCATTTCATAATATCCACTTTATACAATTTCATATACAGTCAAATATATACTTCCTCCATTTCTTTTTAGTTGACACGTTTCTTTAGTCATTTGCCAATGCACATATTCAACCGTTAGTATCTTTAATTATTGTAAGCAAAAATATAAAAAGTTGATATTTTGAAAATATATAACGTGACGAATCTAACTAGACCCTACATGACTATATTTTCCATTACGTATAAATCACAAAACACGGTCAAAGGGAATTGTGTGAATATTATTAAAGCCAAAATGTGTCAAAACGGAGGTAGTAATATATTTGTGTTTAGAGATGTGCCTTGAGACTCTGGGTTCACTACAGTACATATTATGGGACGAAGGGATTAACTTCGTTATGGAGTGGAGCTTTGGTAATGGTGGTGGCAAGAGGCTATGGTAGTGAGGTTTTTTTTTTGTTTTTTGTTTTTGTTTTTTCCCCGTGTGTGTTGTGTGTGTGTAAACACAAATTTTAAATATGCAAAATATAGATTTAAAATAAATGAAACAAAGTGTTGATTTTATTAATATGATAATATTGGGTACAATCTCTAATTTTGTCCTCTGATTCGATCTCCACTTTGACTTTGACGTAATTCACGAATTGACTTGATTCTCGAACGAGGACCGTCGGGGCTTGATCTTGATCGAAGATTTGATGCAACACTTTGACTTATTGTTGATGTAGACCTTTGACTTGTTGTTGATGTAAACCTTTAACTTGAATTCTTGATTGAGGGCCGTCGAGGCTTGATCTCTTCCACGGGTGATCTTCTAGAGTAGATTGGCACGTCGAATGCTTGTTGTTCTTCTTCTAGGTTTTGAGAGGATTTCTTTGAAGAAGTTTAGAGTATTTGATGAGTTGTTTTCTTTGGAGAGGTTTGAGTAAATGAGAGGCTTTCTCTGTATTTTAATCTCCTTGTTATTTTGATCTCCTTGTTTACTCTAGGTTTTTCTCTCTGTATATTGATTCTCTGAATGTCCTGTTTTCCTCTCTCTCAAATGAATTAGAGAGCCTCTATTTATAGAGTGAGACACCCTAGGGTTAGTTAGGGTTTGATATATACTGGGCTTTTAAGGTAATCATGACTCATTTACAATAGTTTAACCCATTTTAATAGGTTTTTGCTATTAAATGAACAATTTAATTAAAACAATTAAAATGGGCTAATTTGACTGATTTCACCTAAAATAATTAAATTTAATTAATTGTCAAATGAACCTGAGTCAATATTTTGACTTTTGACCAGTACAATATCCAAAGTGGCACTTATATAATTTTTTCGTGCCTACAATGTGTACTCTTTTATATAGACTATAGCTGTATGATTTATGAATCTTTCCCAAAACTTCATATAATCTTAAAAGTATGTGGAGAAAATTTTGTGTAATTGATATTTGTGTCAGCAATGTATGTTGTGCTTAGTACTTTGTTTTTATTTAGCATTAGTTTTGATGAAGTTTTCTCATAAATGAATTACTAGAGAAGAGTACAAGAACTAATGACAAATTCTGGTATTGGAAATAATCAGATTACATATTAGTCCGTTATTAGTCATTCTTATTGTTATACCTATGAACCTTATGATATTCTGTAAGTCCGTGTCTTCTTATACTCAAAGCTCTCTCCTTGGCATCGTTTCATATTAAATGTTAAAAAATAAAATAAATAAATAAATAAAATAAAAAGGCTGTCCTGTTCAATATTCTCTAAACAGGGTAAGTCATGTTGTTGGCTTGCCTTTCCTTGTTCAATTACTTAGGATTGAAAATACTCTAAGATGCCGACCCTGATTAAGTGGTCTTTTCCTGCTTAAGTTTGTGAAAACCAGCTCACAGTGACTCCATTTTTCTACCTGCACCATAATTCTGTTGTAGGCTGATTATTTTATAACAAAATTATATTATTATTTATTTTCATTCACAATTGATCTTCAGTTTGTTTACCTTTTGGTTTTAGGAGACTGGTTGGGCTGGTATGCTTAATCTTGTTAAATTCTACAAAGCTAAAAGATTTGATCCTTCAATTGGATTGCCCAAGTAAGCTTTCTGCATTAGCAGATAATTATTTCAGTTTCATTGTGTTTTGTCACAAATTTGCTACTAACTCTAGTTGAATATTTTTTGTGCCAGGCCTAATGACTTCCATGATTTTTCTGAGTATTTTGTTCTTGAGGTAATGCTATGAGGTAGGATTTGTATCAAAATCCAATGTTTGTTTGGCTTCCAACATTTTTTTAATAATTGATGGTCTGAGATGAGGTTTCCCTTTCTCATTCCGTTTGTCTTTCTGTAGTCAAGAACTTTCCATGTCTCTATCTCTCTCCATTGATTTGTTGTCAAGATTCAGGAATTGTCGTACTAAATGTAGTAATTTGGATGTGTGTAGTAATGACCAGACGAGCTAATATGCCACCACTTGACTTGACAAGCTAAAGTGGTGGCATGTTAGCTAGTCTGGTCAGTGCTGAACTGTTGTTACAAATATCTCATATGCAAAAATGTTATATTGCATGTGCATTATATTATGAAATGTGAAACTGCTAGCAAAAACTCCTACATTGAGGTTAATCAAAAAAATTTGGTTTGTGGCAAATAACTAACTAGATTGCCGAGCTCATCTACCACAAGTCTACAATGCAATAACAGTATATGGTGTTGTGTGCATTGTAGGTAATTGAAAGTTTACAGGTATGTTTTGCAGAAAATTAGGTATGAAGGTATATGTGAGTTTGCTAATGTACTGAGATACTGTCAATTATTGTACTGTGATATTAATTCTGAATCCTTATTTTGAAATTGACATTTATAGATTTCCAAATTCACCAAGATATTTGTGATATGCTTTTGAAGCTATGTGGGCTTGTTTATCACTTAATTTTATAATTTATCTATTTAATTACCTTAGGGTCACCTCACTTACCAGTTGTTGCTGCTGATTGTAGCATCAAATAAGTTAGTTGGCCTTTGACCTGTTATGAGTTGTCGCCATCATTAAGTATGGGTCTTGGTTTTGTGTGTTTGTCTAGGCCATTCCACATGCTGTAGCTACTGTGAGAACTGGTGATAAAAAAAGCCCGAGAGAAGCTGTGGAGTTTGTCTTGCAAGTTCTAAAGGTAAATTTCTTTGTTGGTGCATCCTGTATGATGTTAATTACAGTACACACTTTAAATGGGTGTTTTCCTCTTGCTGCAAGGAAAGACCAACATTTCATTCATATATCTGTTGACGTTTTATCCCTTCACCCTGTTTTTGGTTTTTTTTTTTTAAAAAATGTTTTAATATTGTTACTTTTATCAAGTTTCCACCAATAATAAATTGTAAAATACTGATTGCCTATTGGTCAATAATCAATAGTAATTGTAATAGTCAGAAACATCACAATGAATAATCTTCACTTGATTTTTTTTTTTAAAATTTTTTTTTTCTTTTGCAAAATGACAATGTAGCAACTAGTGTGAGGAGGGAGTATTTGTAAAGGGATGTTTTGTGTGCTTTAAAGTCTTAATCTACTATATATCTTCTGTTCTCTAGTATTGGCAAAGCTTTTTGTGGACCTTTATCACATGTTCTAATATTATGGTATGAATGTTAGTATGGTGTTCAGTTTGGAGTGTTACTACTTGTAAATTCTTTTATATCGATTTTTTTATCATTTATTTATTTTTCATAAATAGTCTTTAAGTATTATTGCTCATTTAATCCTTGTGATATTAACTATTGTTATTACCATATCTTTTTCCCCCCTACTTACTATCGCCATTGAAACCATGGAAATGAGAGTGGGTTCCATAAGTGGGCCCTATGGTGGGTTATAGGAAAAGAATTTATTTGCATAAATGGAATAAAGTAAAAATAGGTAGATAAAAAAATAAAAATAAAAAGAACAACCATAAACGAAAAGTAGGAAGATGAAAAAGAGCAGAGGGAGTAAATGTTTGAGATCAAATATTGCTGGAATTTGCAATGGATCAACCCAACACTACTCCACCAATTCAAGTTTACTCAAGGAGACGCAAGAAGACAGGAGCAGGACAACAATAGCAGCAATTTGGGGAAGCAACAGAAAAGATTTCAGAGCAGCAAAAGAGGACAAAATTAATTATTATTCCACAAGTAATGTGGTAAATGAATGTGATTGTGTATAGCCACTTTGGCAGAATAGTACAACTTGTTTTAATTGCTAGGTTACATGAGGGAGAGGGGAATGTCTAGTATTTAAGGGAATGAAAGAATGAAAGAAGGTATGTGAGTTTTGATGTTCATCTAGTGTGGTTGTAGTAGTAGTGTAGCCTCCAAGCTTCCACCTTTATTGTAGTAGCAAGAGCAGTAGTTTGTAGCCGTTGCCTTCAAAATCAATCAAAAAGTCCTCAAGCTTCCTCTGTTTTTCTTGTGTGCACTGTTTGATTAATTCCTTGAGTCTTGAGTCTATTGCAGAATTGTGATCTTGTTAGTTTTGTTAAATCATAGAAGTAATTATGTTATTCTTTCAAGAATGTCTTGGACTACCTTGGGCTAACTCTTATGACAATTGATAGTATGTATAGATGATTGGAATGTTTCTTTTCTGAAGAAAAAGCATGGATGGGAGGTGGGTTGAGGGTTTGATTTGGACGTCTGTTTTTCTTAAAAAATTGTGTAGGTATTGACTCTATTGAGTTAGGGTAGCATATATGATATAGAATTAAATTTTTTTTAGCTAAAACAGAATATTCATTGAATCACTATATAGTAATTAAGGTAGTGTCAGAAACATAAATGTGTTTTTCCCTTAATTTCAAGTATTCATCTCTGTTACTCTAGAATCAATGCCCTAAGAAAAATTTCCATGTCCTGGGCTTTATATTACTCTTATATGTGCTTTCAGGAAAACGATTTCTCTGCCAATCCTGTGAACTGCTATATGGTGAAGTATGAGTTATCTTCTGACTCTTGATCTGTTTGGATTCTTTTGCAGTACAATGATAATAGTGGTAATCCTTACTCCGATGTATTTTGGTTGGCTGCTCTTGTTGAAGCAATTGGAGAACTTGAATTTGGACAACAGGTTTTGCTCCTTTTCTGCTGATCGCGTAATATATTTTTGTCTGCATGATGCTTCTCATAACTCTGGGCTTACAACTCTGGATTGTCTCTCTCTGCGTATTTCTCTGTTTCAAGGTCTAATGTATGTTCATTTTGTTTGAATTGTAGAACATAGCTTTTCTATCATCATTGCTCAAGCGGATTGACAGGCTGCTGCAATATGATAGGTGACTTATTTTCTGCTACTTATTCAATGTGTTGCTGTAATTATAAATTACCTGGACTTAATCTTTTAACTCTGCACTTGACATGTATCAGGCTGATGCCAAGCTATAATGGGATCCTGACTATTAGTTGCATTAGAGCAATAACGCAAATGGCATTGAAGCTTTCGGAATTCATTCCTCTTGTGAGTTGCTTGACATCTGTATTGTTATCTTTGTTTGTCTTCCTGCATTTCTTAGCTCTATTTGATGTTTCTTACTTGTTGCAGGATAGTATTTTAGAACTCATCAAACCATTTCAAGACTGCAAGGCAGTATGGCAAGTAAGAATTGAGGCTAGGAGAGCCCTTCTTGATATTGAGTTCTACTCTAAAGGCATAGATGCAGCATTGTTATTGTTCATCAAATTTCTGAAGGAAGAATCATCCTTAAGAGGTCTACATTTTCTTATTTTTTGTACAGGCGATTGATGCTTACCTGTTTTAATTAAAAGCAACCATTTTTTTACCTTTCTTTGACACTTCAATTATTGGAGTTCTCATATACTTTTCCAAGATGGATGAGTGGTTTGATTCAATTTTGTCGTACTAGATGTAAACCTCATTAGTGGAGGTTTTATTTTAAAACAAATCTGTGTTGGGATATAGAAGCTAGAGCTTTTAAGAATGAATGTCACTCTTGTGTTAGTTGCGTGATGCTAATGATGATTGAACATATCATTGAGGAAACTCCCATTGTTTTTCTTTCTAACTTATTGATGATGGATGAGCAGTATGATATGATTATTACAATTTTTGGTGAGAGAATTGTGGTTGATCCTTTTGTTAAGCTGCCCTGTGATTGAGTTTTGCATGTTTCTTGTGGGCTGTGCTTCATTGAACTTAACAATATGCTACATTTTTTTTTCCTGCTTCATATATGTTTTATGTTTCACATTATCAGGGCAGGCAAAGTTGGGTGTACATGTCATCCGGCTGAGCCAAATTAGTGCTGGGTCTGGATCTAGTGATGATGTCAGGAGCCAAACTCTTGTGGCCTTGCTTCGTTTGCTTGAAAGCCGTGTAGCATTCCGCAATGTCTTTCTTAGGCATCACTTGTTCTGCATTTTACAAGTTTTGTCCGGCAGGTGAGTTGGTTGGCAAATATACCTTATAGTTAAACATTCAAAATCATATATACGAGTAATGCTCTTGGGTAGAAAATAATACTTCTTTATTCAAGGAAAATACTTTTGTGACCCATTTGTTAGGCAGTATTAATGAAGGTAATGATAATGAGTTTTGATGTAATTTTGTAAGGAATATCCAGTGCCAAAGTCTGTAGTACTGCTGTGACTCCATCTTTGAACTTCTGCTTTTGTTTTTGAATTTTCAATTACTATCAGTGATGATAAAAATAAAAAAAGAATGATATAAATTGACATTTATGGGATAACAATCTTCACTATTTTCATTGACTTGACGAGACTCGCCTTGCAAAGTTACATATTAACACATCACCTTTACCACCTTTTATTACCGCTTTCCAATTGGCTTTAGAGGTTTTTTGATGATTGGAAATGCAGGCAGTTTAAGTTAGGACCTGAATTTATGAATTTGATGAATATATTTTGTTTTAAATAATTACAGGATGTTTGATGTTATGTGTTTAAATTTAGTCCGTTCAAAAAAAAAAAAAAAAAAAAATGTGTTTAAATTTAGTAGATTTTTTCTTCCTCTCCCCAAACCTTTGAAACCTTAATCCCCTGTCTCTTTCCTCTGCTCTTATCTATCTATTCTTCCTCACCCAAAAGAGCCAAAACCCCTAGATACTTTGATACCCTATCTATTCCACGAAACTGTCATTCACAAGGAAAATTACTGGTTCTTTGGTTTGTTCCTGCTTAAATGTTTGCACATGTAAGCTAACAGGAATTAATACTATTGGACTTGATACTCTCTTGAAGATCCTTTTAGGTACTCTACATCAGCTGTTACTGATACAATTTAAGTGTCTGCACTTGCTTTTCTCTGCATAGCATGATTTTATTCAATGTTTGTTTAGCTTAAAAAATCCCCCACGTTCCTGGTTCTGCACCATTGCGTTTTTTATGTTGATATTGATGCTGCTTGACTTGAAACAAGACTTCATGGAGCTTCTTTATAGAGTTTTTGTGAAAGACTTGGTTTGCAATTGACTGTCTTTTATTTGCGGGCTGGAAGGGGCTGGCTGGTCATTCACTAAACTTTTTTTTTTTTGAATAGTTTGTAACAGTTCCCTTCATTTTCAGGCGCCCAACTCTATATGTTATTCCCAGAGATCACATGCGTCAAACTGGCTATGCAGAGATTTGCAGTGAACAGAGGAATACTTTCCTAGCTTTTATCAATCAAATGAAGCCAGTGGAGCATCCTATTGAAATTCAGAGCCCTTTTCAGGATGGAAATATTGCTGAAGAAATGTGCAAAGATGTGGATGCCATTTCCAACAGTCAGGAGCAGAAAATGCCAGTTCCGGATGCAATAGATGTAGATACTATTTCCAATACTCAGGTGCATGTAGTACCTGCTTCAGATGCATTTGAAGATGCTCAGGAAGCTGTTCAAGATGCAGTTGCTGATTCCAATGTTCAGGTGCACATAATTCCAGCTCAGGAAGCTGTTCAGGATGCAGTTACTGATTCCAATGTTCAGGTGCACATAATTCCAGCTCAGGAAGCTGTTCAGGATGCAGTTACTGATTTCAATGTTCAGGTGCACATAATTCCAGCTCAGGAAGCTTTTCAAGATGCAGATACTGATTCCAATGTTCAGGTGCACATAATTCCATCTCAGGAAGCTGTTCAAGATGCAGTTACTGATTCCAATGTTCAGGTGCACTTTATTCCAGCTCAGGAAGCTGTTCAAGGTGCAGTTACTGATTCCAATGTTCAGATGCACATAATTCCAGCTCAAGAAGCTCCGAAGGAAGCAGAGACTCTCTCCAACAGTCAGATGCATATAGTGCAAGCTCAAGAAGTTTCCAGAGAGGCAGATGCTGTATCCATTAGTCAGGATCGAAAGACAGCGGTTTTTAAAATCAGGGTCAAACAAACAGCAAATTCTAACAAAAGTGAAAAAATTGACATTTTGACTCATGCCAAATCTCAGGCTGGTCATAATGAAATTCATCCGGTAGCTAGCAGCTCTGTTTCTGTTGATGCACCCCAGCAAAATATAACGGAAGCTGTTAGCAGAAGCAATCAAATCACAGAAGAAGTGAATTCATGCCAGGGTCGTGGGTCCCATGTGACAGCCAGTATTGGCAGCGCCAAGCTAGCTACAGAAGGTGATGAGGTTGGGAAAGAGCTTTTGTGCACTGCTGATTCCAGCGCCATTCCAGCACTACAACAGCTTGATGATTGCTTATCACCCAATTTTTCCAAAGATAATCTTCTACAGGCTGAGGTGCACAAACAAGAAGTACAACAGTCACTGTCAGTTGCAGCTGAAGAGGTTGATGTTTCACAGAGCACTGTAAATCCAGAATCGCATGGGAAAAAGAAATCAAAGAAGAAAGACAAGGAAAAGAAAAGAAAGCGGGGGGATGATCATAAGAGCCACCGAGATGATCCTGAATATTTGGAGAGGAAACGTCTAAAGAAAGAGAAGAAGAAGAAGGAAAAGGAGATGGCAAAATTGCTGAATGATGAAAGGAATGTTGTATCTTGTGATGGGCGCAGTAGATTAGAAAATGAGAAAAGATTGTTTAGTAATGACACAAAGGCTGTGTCAACTGAGTCTCTGGCTAAGAATGAAGCACCTGCAATGAACATGGAAAGTATTGAGCATAGACCTTTCGGTCAGGAGATACCCTTGGAGCCAACATTATCGAGAAGTAGGGACGAGTTTGAACACCAGAAGGACTCTGTTAGATTAAAACCAGACGAACCTAATGGACCAAAATTAGTCCTTAAGGCAAGCGACAGTAAATCTGGAGCACCTGGAGGAGGTGGTTCAGGCCACAAACTACGAATCAAGATAAAGACTCGAAAATAAAACCCCCGTACAAGGTTGTAATAACTACGAAACCTTGAATGTATGTTAAACTATCTTCAACAGCCGTTGCAAATGGTTTGTTCACGAGGGGACTGCCATATAGTGCATTTTTCTTTCTAGTGGTTTGTTCCCGTTCTAAATCAATGCTAGCAAAGTTCACTTATAATGTTAGTGACCTCTTTTTTTTATATATATAAATACATTTTTTACATCTTAATCTAGATAATAGTTTTTTGTTCAAAAGCTTCAAACTTGTCACTTTATTGTATACTCCGGAACTTCTACAGATGGGTAATTCCTAATTTCAACTTTTCAAGAGTTTTAAATGAGCTAAAAATGTTTTATCATGCAAATTTGGTAGATAAAATTAATAAATAACTGTGGACAACGTGTTATAGGTGTAAATGAATTTATTATACAAATTACACTTCCAAAGTAACTTCATATACGATCTTTTTTCTTTGTTCACATTCCTTCTCTTTCTTACCAACCCTTGTCATCGTGTAACCACAACCAAGCAAATGATTTATGCCAATATGACACAAGGAGAGTTGGTCACTCACTCCATATACGATCTTTAATCGTTACAGACTTCATCTTTGAAAAACCTAATGAGGATCCAATAATTTTCATGTTTTAACAATTGCAGTGACCAACATAATTCTTTTTGATGGTTGAATTTAAAGTTCATGATATTTTCTTTGATGATTTTTTTTTTTTACTAAATATATGGCTTCGTTGTTTAGTAGGCTTATTTATTTATTTATTATTACTTTTTGCTTGGGCCCCAAAATGTTTGAGACATCATTCTAATTCTTTCGGGTTCCCACATACCAAACTCTAGCTTTTAAACTAGGATTGGGATTATATACCATCTATGTTCTATTCCCAACAAAATAATACAAGGGGGTCAAGTATTAGGAGATTAGAATTAGAATAGGTGAGAAATGACTAAACGCCCTTATACAAGAAGAAATTTTAGTGAGAGTATTTTTGTAAACTTAAAATGTACAAGTATTTCTTACCTATTACTACCAAACAAGGCATTGGTTTATTAATTTTATAAATTCACAACATATTTTCATTACTTATCCCAACCTCAATTCTCCAAACTCACATTCCTACATATCAAACTAAATAAATGAGTACAAAATAAATAGTTTTACCAAAATTATTCCCCGTAAATGTGTGATTATTTTTTCCACATAGATTTAAAAAATAAAATAAAATAAAAAATATCATACTGCAAACAAAATAACATGATGCAACTATGCAATAAAGGTGCAAGTTTTAAATAATGAAGGAAGGATGAAAATTCTAAGGTGTAAAATTAAGGCGGCTTATAGCTTGGTGTGTTCCTTTATGTCCAACAAAAATCATTCTCCATATTGTCGATATTGACTATTGAGTACTGTCCACATCATCGTACAACACTGTCTTTCATATTTTGGCATTTTACTTCCTTTTTTCATCAATTATCATCATTTGTGGCCTTGTGGGCATTTTACTTTATTTCTTTTTTACATGAACGAAAGCTACATTATTATCGTTTTCCTCAGCTTGTAATAACGACTGTCTTAATAATTCCAGTCAAATTAGTAACCTAAACAAACTATCAGAACAATTGCGGTGAATTATACGAAGTACTACCTCTGTTTTTTTTAGTTGACACGTTTTGACTTTACCACTATTTACACACTCTTCTTTGATCGCATTTTATGCTTTGTATGTAATGAAAAATATAATTATGTGGGATCTTGTTAGATTCGTCACGATATATATTTTAAAAATATCAATCTTTCATAATTTTTGCTTATCGGAAATTAAAGATATGATTGGTTGAAATTGTGCATTGGCAAACGTGACTAAAGAAACAAGTCAACTAAAAAGAAAAGGACGAAGTATTAAATAATGGAATTAGGGCTGAGGCCTAAAGGTTGTTTTTGTTACATTTAATATTCAATATGCTAGTGTATATAGTGGGTTAAATTTGTTAACAGGGAGAACCGGCGAAAAGTGGTCATTGTCAAATACTAAGTACGAGTACTCGTTATAAAAAAATTCTAAGATAATCATTAACCTTTTACTAAAAACATAAATACTAAAATACCTAATACATATTTATTTTTAAAAAAGACGATGATAGATTTGAAATAAACAAATAATCTGTTTTATAGATATTCATCCCATAACAAACTGTTAACATGTACAACTTTAATTTTAATGTTCATACTTACCACCTATCAACGTTATAACACGTACACATTCAGTGCAAAATCCACAATTTTGTGCATTTTATCACATTAGCATTAAACTTTACCATACCCTTATAAATTTAGAATTAGAAAATGAATCAATGATACCTAAGCTAATAGTACCAAAACATGCCCCCCACCCCAAAAAAAACAAAACTTGTACTCCGTATAAGTGTAGCCTTTCTACTTAGGGTTTGTTCTCTTATGTTGAAATTCAGTTCAGTTCAGTTCAGTTCAGCTCAATTCAGTTAAGTTCAGTTCAGCTCAATTCAGTTCAGTTCAGTTCAGCTCAGCTCCTAATTTCCTTCTCTTATAAAATATTCAGTTTAGTTCAGTTCAGTTCAGCTCAATTCAGTTCAGTTCAGTTCAGTTCAGCTGAATTCAGTCAATGAGAACAATCAAGCCCTTATCCATTCAAATAGGAGGTACTTGGATAGATAGTGGCAGCAGTTGCTACCTTATAAAGTGTTATAAATTCATTCGTGGAACAAGGACGAGTACTCTTTCCCTCTAAAACCAACCAATTATGTTGTAGCTCAAAGCCTACACATGGTTGAAGATTCACCTCCTGTTTATACAAGTAACCTTAAAGTTACCATTCTCCGTTTATGACTTTAAATTGACAAACCATACACGTACTAATGCATATAACTTTGACTATTAATTTCTCTTACTAAGTATATCTCTTCTATTTTTATCTCTATCAGACTATTCATATCTCTATTTCTATTCGCTTATTCTATACTTCCTCCGTTTTGTTAATATTGCAACAAGGAGGAAATTACGCATCCCAAAACACATTTTATATGCTAAATATCTATAATTGTGTAAGAGTAAAAATTTTAAAAAGTTGATATTGTGAAAGTATTATATGAGACGAATCCAACAAGATCTCACTTCACTATATTTTGCTTAACGTATAACTCATAGTATATGGTCAAACAAGAGTGATAAATAGTGCAAAAAGTCCATTATTGTTGCAATATTAATAGAACGGGGGAAGTATATTAGTATCATACACTCCATTAAATTAAAGTAGTACAACTATATACAAGTAAAATAAAAATAGAGACACAGTTAGAGATGGGAGACATAAAACTATTTAGAGCTTGTTCTCATTAACTGAACTCGGTTGAACTGAACTGAACTGAATATTTTATAAGAGAAGGAAATTAAGAGCTGAACTGAACTAAACTGAGCTGAACTGAACTGAACTGAACTGACCTGAATTTCAACGTATGAGAACAGACCCTTAATAACATGTGCTGTAAAAAGAGAGAGAAGAAGAACATGAAGCATGTGTACTTGTATAGCATCGATCAATAAATGGTTCTATAGATTATTTTTGTGAAAAAAAAGACTTTTCAAAGTTCATAAAGGCATGTTATCTAATTTGGAATAGATCGATGTAGACTAGCAAGAGGCTACACTACACTGATTATTGAATATTTCATTTTTTTTTTTTCAATACAATAATTTAACATTTATACTATTATTAATTATATACCAACTTAATGTTGATTAATAACTAGACTACTAGAGTAATATATTAAAAATCACATGCCATTACATCTTCCTATCTTGCACTTCATTGACACAGTTCTTTTATTATGTTTGTCACTGTACAAATTTAACAATAATATGTCTGATTAATAATAAGTAAAAACTATGTGTAAAAGTTGATACTATGAAGGTATATGCATTTAAACGATTCTAATAAGATCTTACACACAAGTACTATTTGTATGTTTTACCATAATACACATCACAAACGCTAGTTAAATAGAATTTATAAATAGTGTCAAAAGTCAAAAATTTTCAATAAAAAAATGAAATTTCTGACTTTTACTACCTCCAAATAATCACTTATTGGCTTTTACCACCACCGTATTTTAAAATTTTATTTTACCACCAACAAAATTTTTAAAAATTGGATTTCACCAACTAACGAATTTCATCCATGAATCCGTTAGTAGGACCCACTTTTTTGACATTTTCTCTTTATTTATCTCCCTCGATCTTCCATACCAACCAGCCGGGTATGAAATCAGCTCCAACTCGGTTGGTCGGAATTTTGTATGGGGCTAGGGAGGGTCGGAATTTGGTGTGGGCTAGGGAGGGGGTCAAAATTAGTTGTTGCTAAGGTTTTCTGGTCGAAATTGGTGCTGGCTAGGGTTTTAGGAGTGGTCAAAATTCGTTACTATAGACACCCAAGTGTGTCTCCCCAAAACCAAACCCAGTGATGAATACCTTTCACGTCGAATCATAATCGAATGAAATGAAAGTGTGGAAAGTCTAGTGTTGCGGTTAGTTTTTATTTCTTTTTTTTTCTCTCTGTTTTTTAAAACCTATTTTATGAAAATAGCCAATCCAGTTTAGTTTGGTCCATGGTAAGGGTCCAATAATGGTGTAGTTGGATTGGGCTCGAAAAGAGCTTTCCAACGATGTATTATAAGCCCAATTTTGATGAATAATGAGGAACACTACAAAAAAACCAGTGAATTGCGACCGTCAGAACCGGTCGCAAATTATAAGGAAAACGGTTGCTATTTAGAATTGCGGCCGTCACCGGTCGCAAAGGAACAATCGTTATTTAACTGGTCGCAAAAAAAAAAAAAAAAATTGCGGCCACTTGACGGTCGCATATCAAATTGCGACCGCTTTTCGTATTTTCAACGACCGTTTTTTAAACTGACGTAATTTGTTATTTGCGACATGCAACGACCGCCTAAGACGGTCGCAAACCTCGGGGATCTGCGACAGGCAGTGACGGTCGCAATTTTCAGTAAATTACGACCGCTTGTGACGGTCGCAAATTCCTGTGATCTGCGACAGGCCTTGACGGTCGCAAATTTATGGGATCTGCGACATGCCCTGATGGTCGCAAATAAATATATGGGATCTGCGACATGCCCTGACGGTCGCAAATATATGGGATCTGCGACATGCCCTGACGGTCGCAATTTTCAGTAAATTACTACCGCCTAAGACGGTCGCAAATTCTAGGGATATGCGACAGGCCCTAACGGTAGCAAAAACATGGGATCTACGACAGGATAGGTAAACGGTCGCAATTCCTCATAGAATTGCGACAGGGCAATTTATTATTATAATGCAATTTTCAAATAATTACAATTTGCATTATCGATGCCATCCTAACCTGAACCTATAACCTGTTATCATGTGAATTAATTTCAAAATTAATATAAAATAAAAATAAAATGCATAATTCATATAGATAATAATATTAATAATTAAAAAGTCCAACTTCGAACAATACATACAATAATAATGTTCAAGTTAATAGTAATAGTAATAGTAATTAGTTAGTAATAGTTTTATGGAAAAATTGCCCGCAATAATCCGACGTTTTGCCCGTCCGCTGAAAATAATCCCACCTTTGGATTATTTTTTAATAATCCCACCTTTACCCCTAATCCGCTTCCAATGGTCCCAGGTGACCAGTTACCAGTTGAAAAGGTAATTTTATTTTTTTTTGGTTTGAAATACACGTGTCACTACAAAATTTGTCCAAAAAATTTAATTAAAAAATGAAAAAAACCCCTCCACCCCTGCCACACCAGTCCCAGCCACCACCATCCCCACCTAACTGTAACCCACCACTAAGCCCACCAGAACGCAACCCACCAAACCGAAAACCCACTCCCAACCGACGCTGACCGGAACCCAAGCCTAATCAAAGTTTCAGCCTCCATCATCCCCGCCACCACCTAAACCCAGAGCCACCACTGCCACGAAACCAGACCCCAGCCAACCCAGGAACCACCGCCACGGCGCCATCAAACCAAACCCGAAACTAGATGTGGAACCCTACAAACCCTAGTCACCGAACAAGACCCCAGGCAAGCCGATGTTAAGGGACGGGGAGGGGTTGGGATCGTGATGGGGAAGGGGTTTTCGAGGGTAGGGGGATGCCGGAATTCGGGAAAGGGGGAGGTCGACGCGGCCAGAGGGGGCAGAGGATGTCGGAAAATCCGAAATTGGGGGTGATTGCGAGGCCGGAATAGGGCAATGGGGTTGGTCAAATTCGTGGGACAACCGTATACTTGATACAAGGGAGGTCGGGGTTAGTGGCTGGGGAGGTTGGCGCGCCTGGATTGGTGGCTGGGGAGGTCGGCGGGCTGGGATAGGTGGCAGGGGAGGTGGTTTGGCTGGTGGGTGGTTTTATTATTAATTAATTGTTTTTTTTACCTTTTTTTAATTTTATTATTTGTACTAATCGGGTGTCGACACGTGTCAAGTGACTTGCTATAGCAAGTTAAGTTACCGGTTGGGACCATTAAAAAAGATCGGGGGGTAAAGGTGGGATTATTAAAAAATAATCCAAAGGTGGGATTACTTTCAGCGGACGGCCCAAAGGTGGGATTATTCCGGGCAATTTTTCCTAGTTTTATAAGCTTAACTTTAAAACTAAGTTAGGTTTATATGAATAAGTAATGGCCTATGTTCCTTCAAAAAATAGATAAGGCCAACATGTAACAATATAATACCAATTTCAGGCCTATATTCCCCAAAAAAAATAACGAAATGACCTATATCCCCCACAAAAAAAAACCTAAGGCCTATATTCCCCTAAAAAATATCAACAATACTAATGTAAGAGCTTTATGAACAAAAACTACGACACCGGAGTCTGGTGACCAAGCCCACCACCACTCATGTCCGGGTCATCTTCCCTACGAAACTGAAATGGAGGACCACCTGAACAGTTAGAGAACAAGTTCTGCAACATTGTCTCCATCATTCGCTTACTCTCAATTGCTGCCTCCTCCCGCTCCTTCTTCAATGCCTCCTGCAATTGCGTTCCAAACTGTGCCTCCATCTGTGCTTGCATTTGCACTTTTGCCTCCTCTATTCGCTCGGCAACCTCGGCTTGCACACGTTCCTCCAAATGTGAAGCTATAGAAGTATTGTACGATTGCGAGCCTTTCTCGGAAGAGGGGGTGTAAAACAAACTAGCACTTGCACCTAGGCCCTTCACTACACCCTTTTTCCTACCACCAACGACCTCTCAGTATAGCTGGTTAGGGTCCGGTTGTGACCCTTCTTGAGTGGAAGACTCGTCAAGCTTCTTTTGGTAGGCTTCCTGAAATCAAACAAAACAAATTATGCATCTTAAACATGTTTATAGGTTCAAATTGCGAAAACATACACATTTTCAAGTATTTACAAGGCTATAGGTTTACAACTTGGCTTAAATGGCTTAAATGGCCTTCTAACTTACCCATTTTCTTTGTTTTTGATATATTCTAAGACTTTGTCATTCAAAAAACTCATATTTAGCATACAAAACATGTTTATAGGCATAAATTGCTAAAGCATACATATTTTCAAGCATACACAAGGCTATAGGTTCATGACTAGGCTAAAATGGCTTAAATGACCTTCTAACTTACCCATTTTCTTTGTTTATGCTATAATCTAAGATTTTATCAATCAAACAACTCATATTTAGCATATTAAACATGTTTATAGGTTCAAATTGCAAAAACTTCGACATTTTCATGCATATCCATGGCTATAGGTTCATGACTAGGCTAAAATGGCTTAAATGGCATTCTAACTTAGCCATTTTCTTTGTTTTTGCTATATTTTAAGATTTTATCAATCAAACAACTCATATTTAGCATACTAAACATGTTTATAGGTTCAAATTGGTAAAAACTTACACATTTTCAAGCATATTCATGGCTATAGGTTCATGACTAGGCTAAAATGGCATAAATGACCTTCTAACTTACCCATTTTCTTTTTTTTTTTTGCTATATTCTAAGATTTTAGCAATCAAATAACTCATATTTAGCATACAAAACATGTTTATAGGCATAAATTGCTAAAGCATACACATTTTCAAGCATACACAAGGCTATAGGTTCATGACTAGGCTAAAATGGCTTAAATGACCTTCTAACTTACCCATTTTCTTTATTTTTTAAAAAAGGTTCATGACTAGGATAAAATGGCTTAAATGACCTTCTAACTTACGCATTTTCTTTGTTTATGCTATATTCTAAGCTTTTATCAATCAAACAACTCATATTTAGCATATTAAACATGTTTATAGGTTCAAATTGCAAAAACTTCCACATTTTCATGCATATTCATGGCTATAGGTTCATGACTAGGCTAAAATGGCTTAAATGGCATTCTAACTTAGCCATTTTCTTTGTTTTTGCTATATTTTAAGATTTTATCAATCAAACAACTCATATTAAGCATACTAAACATGTTTATAGTTCAAATTGCAAAAACTTACACATTTTCAAGCATATTCATGGCTATAGGTTCTTGACTAGGCTAAAATGGCATAAATGACCTTCTAACTTACCCATTTTCTTTGTTTTTGCTATATTCTAAGATTTTATCAATCAAACAACTCATATTTAGCATATTAAACATGTTTATAGGTTCAAATTGCAAAAACTTCCACATTTTCATGCATATTCATGGCTATAGGTTCATGACTATGCTAAAATTAAATGGCTTAAATGGCATTCTAACTTAGCCATTTTCTTTGTTTTTGCTATATTTTAAGATTTTATCAATCAAACAACTCATATTTAGCATACTAAACATGTTTATAAGTTCAAATTGGTTAATCATAGAGATTTTCATGCATATTCAAGGCTATATTCTAAGCTTTTATCAACCAAACAACTCATATTTAGCATATTAAACATGTTTATAGGTTCAAATTGCAAAAACTTCCACATTTTCATGTATATTCATGGCTATAGGTTCATGACTAGGCTAAAATGGCTTAAATGGCATTCTAACTTAGCCATTTTCTTTGTTTTTGCTATATTTTAAGATTTTATCAATCAAACAACTCATATTTAGCATACTAAACATGTTTATAGGTTCAAATTGGTTAATCATAGACATTTTCAAGCATTTACAAGGCTACAGGTTCCTCTAATTTCAAATCACAAGTATAAGTGCCTATGTTTTGCTTGCTTCCTTAAAACATAATTTCATTAATTTCCAAAGTTACATTTGTTACCGAGATTTGTTGTGCCCTCTTGTTAGCCGCAACTTTTTCTTTTCCTGGAACTTCCTTGAAAAGTGTCTTTAGGAACACCTCAGGAGCAGTTGGAAGTAGGGCTGTGCAAAAATCGGTCCAGACCGTATTTTGGACCTGGACCGGACTGGACCTGGATCAGTCCGGACCGGACCTAGTGGATTCCGGGTTTCAGGTCTGGACCTAAAACCCGGATTTTAATAATAATCAAAAAAAATTAATATAAATTTTGAGAATTTTCTACTCCGTATTACTTACTGACTTACCCATTACCTTACCCTAACATTTTCAAACTCAAAAACCTTCTCTCCTAGTCTCCACTCTCCAGCGCAGTCACATCTTACAGTCACCCTCACACATACTCCATTTTTTCCGGCGAGTTTGAGCACCATCGATTCACCGTGTGCCGCCGCGTCTTCTTCATCGGAACTCTCAAAGTCGAGTTATAGCTATGTCTCGAATCGCTGCTTTTCGAACTTCATTGTTCGACTTGTACTATGTTCGAAAAAAATGAAGAACTCTCAGCCTCTTATGTGCCTTCTTTTCATACTCCTTCTTCACGAGGGCATCAAGATCAGCATTCCAAAGGTATTGTTTCTGCAAACAAGAAAAATAAAATGTATAATAATTTATTGTAATAAGTAACCAAAAAACAACAAAGTTAGATGAGTAAACTAAACTTGGGGGTTTTATAATACCATAAACGAGTTCCACCAGTGGGTCTTAGTAACGTTGTCAACCATTTCATAGTTAAGCCATGGTTCGCGCCAATGTGCTTGAAAAATATTCGTAATGGAGGTGCTCACGGTGTTATCATCTATGCCCGGGCTCTCAGGATGAGCTTCACAAAACCGTATGAATTGTTCAACACCATCCACAAACTCTGGCCTAAGTCTATGAGCATACCGCCATCGTATCTATCGTACATCCACCAACGCTCTTTCCTTTTCATGGTGACAAATTCTACAACACTATGAAAAACAAACACATTAATCATTCACTCTGAACTTGTATTCATTACAATAATGAAATACGATACAATTAGAATCGAAATGATATCCAAAGGTCCTTATCATGACTTGAACAGGAAAGCTGATTTCACATTCTTTATTAAGAGATTTAAACGTATGTTATGTCACATGCTTCTAACTTGATAAATAATTATAATTTTTACAACATTTTTTCTAAGATACTTATTATTTATAATTTACAATATTGATTAAATTATTTATAACTTACACTAAAAAATTATATTTATACCATAAAGTAAATTGATGTAACATTAATAGAATAATAGAAGCAATATGATTTGTATACTTAACAAAGATGGGAGTTTGATAACAAAAATCAAAATATAAAAATATTAAAAAAAAAAACAACCACATGTAACCCTTCATGAAAAAACAAAACAATTTACAAAATACTTTATAGAACCATAATACAAAATATTGTTCAAAAGATTATAATAACCCCTTAAACATACATATTTCTAATAAAGCCATTATAATTCAATAAGAATCATTTTTTTTAAAAACGAAAACAAAAATTATCCAACACATGAGTTCACACCATCCAATAGTCCTACATTGGACATAAAGCAAAATAAATTTATATTCCAACCAAAACACATCCAAGTTCTAGCCTACGCATAATAAAGCGTAAAAAATCCAACAATGAACCAAGCAATCAATACCAAACTAAAATTATCCAACACATGAGATCACAACTCCATAAACAACTAACATAAATATGAATCATATTGCACAAGTAAAAGAAATAGATAAATAAGGGAAGAAAAACACACAGCGGAGGAGTTGACCAGAAAAGCAGAGGCGGCGACGAAGGTGTTCCTGGTATATGGTGGTGTTACACTTTTAGGCAGGGTATTTATAAAAAAATTTAAAATGAAAAAAAATAAATAACTACAGCCGACTTACCTAGTGGGGGCGATGGAAAAAGACAGAAAAAGGAGGAAGGACGGGCAGAAGCAGAATCTGGCGATGATGGAGCTGCAAAGGGGGTTAATTTGCGACTCACAATTAGCTATTTCAGATTAAATAACGAAATTAAAAAAAATTAAAAAAAAAAATCAACCAAAAGGTCAAGACTGGGAACGTAGCTTTAATCAAAAGTTTAAGAGTTAAATTTCACCATTTTTAACCAAAAATTAGGCGAAAAGGCTATTTATACTATTTAAAGAAAATATTCAACTATGTAGCCTGATATTAAAGTAATTACAATGAGATAAACCCATGTATTAATACACATTTACGATAAGGTAGCTTATTTGGAATGCACATTTACCATGTCTAATTCTTAACTAGTCATTATGAATCTTTCATATTAGATAAAATCATATACAAATTCAACAGTAAATCTCAAAGGAAACAAAGTTACATGGCTTATTTAATCGATTCAAGACAAAAATTTCATTACATCCAAACAATTTAATGTGATAGTGGCTCCCTTTCTAATCAAATTGCCACCCTAAACAGTTTAATTAAAACCAAACTTGAAATCCACTTCGACATTAGTTCCTTTCTACTCAAATTACACCAAAGCAAATCAATTCAATTTTAACACAATCACATTAATCATCAGACTACACCACAATCTATCAACAGCAACATCAATGGACTTCAGTATTTCATCATCAAAATATAAACAATTATAAATGAAAGAAAAATTAAAATTGGTTACCATTTAACTCAAATTAAACCAAATAAGACTTCAGAATAACCATATTAACCCTAATTCAATCAAAAAATGAATCAAACCCAATTCCATAAATAAACTGCTTCATTAATCAATCCACAATAAGGTAATTAGTTCATCTAGGAAAAGAAAGAAAGAGAGAGAGAAGGCCATAAACAGTAACTAAATTTTAAAAAAAAACCAAAATTGCATGACTTACCTGATTACAGTCGACGGAAGACGGAGGAGGCTAAGATAGAAGGAGGAAACCGACGAATTTTCGCCCTGCAAACGTTGATTTGTGACCCAATTTTAGGGTTTTCGCCCAAATTAGCAAAATTCTAAAATTTAAGTTTAAAGAGAGGCTAGCAAGAAAGACAGCACTAATCGAAAAATCATTCTCAATATCATCACTGAGATAAATAACAATAAAGTCAGAAACTTGTATTCAGAGAGTAAAGAAGGATATTATAGATCAAATAATCAAACATCAAAATAGAAAATTAAGAGCTTAAGACAGAAACTGGATCACAAAACTAACTTCAAGGATAAACTACAGCTTACAGATTCCTTTAGACTTTATTTTAAGAAAAAAATTGCAATGGGAAATGGTCCAGTGGTCAAGGCCTAAATGCTAGAGTCTGAACTGCCAAGTCCCAGGACAGTTTGTAGATATAAAATTTTTGCACTATGTAAACAACTGCCTAATGTAGCTTCCATCAAAGATTCAAAGTAACACTCTTCAAATTAACTTGAAAATGTCTACCAACACTAAACAAAACCTTTTAGTATCTCAGCTCCTAAAAATAAAATTAAAAAAAAAAAACCAAAATTGCATGACTTACCTGATTACAGTCGACGAAAGACGGAGGAGGCTAAGATAGAAGGAGGAAACCGGCGACTTTTCGCCCTGCAAACGTTGATTTGTGACCCAATGTTAGGGTTTTCGCCCAAATTAACAAAAATTCTAAACAAAATAATTGAGACCCAATCGACTTACCTTGAAACAATCGTCGGAAAGCAAAGGAGAGACGTCCTGGAGGGGAATCCGGCGACGGTGGTCTGCGTGGGGGTTGAATTGAGACCCAAAGTTAGGGTTTTCGAACAAATTAGCTAAACTAATAAAATCAAAAACAAAAAAAAATAGAACGACATACCTGTGTGTAGCGTCGCTGGCCGAAAACAGGTCGTCGGTGGGAATAACGGCGGAGCAGCGACCGTCGTAGGTGTTCTCCCTTTTCCCCCTTCTTCTCTGCTTCAAACTTCCCCTTCTGAAAATAAGAAAACACGACTTTGTTTTAATTTAGGATTTAGCGAAACAAAAAAAATGATTTAAAATGTTACGACCGTTTAGACCGGTCCTAATTATTTTTTTAAAAAAATTAATTCTAATAATTTTAACGACCGTTATAACGGCCGCAATTTATTAAAAAAACGGTTGCAATTAATTAAAATTACGACAGGCTAATAAACGGTCGTAAATAATACTAATTGCGACCGTTTTTTGGCCCGTTACAAGAAAACAGTCGTAATATCACCGAATTTTAGTAGTGGAAGTTATGAACTGGGCCCGGTTTGATCTTTATATGCGGCCCAATGATCTAGAGGAGGGCCTATTTTGATTTATCATTCCTAATGCAATTAGGATTGATTATAATCTTCTAGAAGGTTCTTTTGAATCCTAATTTAATTAGCATTGATAAATGAGTTTTAAGAGTTTTATTTAGAATAAAAGAAGTGTTTTAAAGGAAATTATAGTTTTACCCCCTTGTACGGTTAAATTTTATCAAAATAAGAAAACACGTGGAAAAACTGGTTGTCGCGCCGCAGCTGCGGTCTGTCGCCTGGCGACAGGCCTGGCGTCTGGCGTCTGGCGACAGGCGCGTGTTTGGCGACAGCATCATGTTTTATTCTTTTCGAAACTTTTATTCGTTTTTTATCATATCCGGCTGATTTTCTTTATAAATAGTCTCCTAAAACCTCCGTTTTTAAATCACCAACTCTCATCAAGAATTTATTGATTCTCTCTCCCTCTTTCTAGCCTAGCCTTTTACAAACAAAATTCCTCACACAATAGCACTAGACACACCTAGCCAAATTCGAAGTTGCCTTCGCCCTAGATGTGAAAGGTTTGGTATTTCTGAGGGTTAGGTCCCAAATCTAGTCTAAAATTTCTTAATCTTTATTTAATTTAATTGTTTTGTATTATATTTTCCTTGAAGTTACTAACATGTGTATTTTGTTATTAGAAAGAGGTACGAGGCATCCAAGTAAGTGCTTTAATTGTTTTATTGATATTATGATATAGAAATCATGTTTAGGTTGTTATTCTGATTCCTAGTATCATGTTAGGATGCTTTTCTTAGTTTGATGTTTAGGGTAAAGAATAAGTTTCTTAATTATATCAATTATTATTTCTATGATGCTTCTTATTTTCTTTCCTAATATCATGTTAGTATTATGTTAGGGTTAAAGCTTTGATTTTTATATGTTTAGACGTTTAGTGACATGTTAGGGTTTGTTATTAATCTTGTTAGTATCATGCCTAGAATCTTGCTATAATTATTAATGTTTTAACATGATTATTTTTATAATTGTTATAATTAATTTTATGATGATGATTATGTTGCTTGATTATATATTTATTGTTATTGCTTGATCACGCCTTTTATGCATGTTTAAAGGGAATTTGTACTTATAATCACGCTTAATAAGATAATTAATAATCTTGTTTAGGGTTAATATATGATTATAATTCAAGTGATCGCCAATAATAGATTTATTTGTGCATTAATATTCAACCAACATAGATTAAACAGGTTTAGAGTAAACATATTGATTGCATGTTAGTCAGAAAGCGCACATGAATACGAGAAGAATAAAGTAGAGGCCTATTATTATTAGGGCAGGTTCTTTCTCTTTTAGATTGGATTTGTACCTTCATTCCCGAACTTCTAGTCATGGTTCTAGACCTATTGGAGTTAACAAACTTCTGGATCGTTAAGGGGTGTAACCTTCACCCTGTGAACGGTTTACAAGTTCCTAAAACTTGTTGGCGACTCTTTTGCTCTAGCTTCTATTCCTTTGGACGCCACCATGCTTAAGTGTATGATCATAGTGGGGTTCAAGTTTGGGGTAATTCTTGAAATATTCCCTACAGGTACAAAGGGGTTTATGGGTGGTCGGAATTTGGTGAATATGGTTTTGGGGTGGGAACGGAATTCGGTGGCTAGTTTGGGATCGGAAATTGGTGGAAAGGAGGTTGGATTTCGGTGTCGGGGCTAGGATGAGCTTCCATAAAATCCGTCCGAAAAATTAAATAGCGCGGATGCCAGCTTGTTTTGGGGTCGAAATCCGGTGAGCGGTGGTTGGAATCCGATGGGGCTAGGGAAGGGACTCAAAAATCAGTAGGGGAGGGGGTGTCGGGGCTAGGGCTGGGAGCCGGTTGGTGGTTGGGTTGGTTTTTTTTTTTTTTTTTTTTTTTAAAAATTTTATTATTTTCTATTTTTTTTAAAAAAATTACCAAATAATATGGTGACACGTGTACATGGTAGGCCCCAATAACGAATTTATAGACATAATTCGTTAGTTGGGGGTGATTGGTGGTAAAAGCCAAATTATTATTATTATTATTATTATTATTATTATTGTTGTTGTTGTTGTTGTTGTTGTTGTTGTTGTTGTTGTTGTTGTTGTTATGTGGTGGTAAAATAAAAATTTAAAATATAGGAAATATACACTTTAGTAATCCTAATTATGGACTATTTACTTTTAATAATTAAAGTTTATTATTTAATAATCCTAACTATGTTGTGTGTTTTCCGCCAATTATCCCAACTAGTCAACACTAAGTCAATGACTTGTTATAACAGATAATCATGACACGTGTCAACACATAATTGGTCCAAGGTTATTTTTTTTTAAAAAATATTAAAACATAAAATAACAAAAAATAAATAAAAAAACAAAAAATCTCAGCCACCCCTTACCACCGTGAATCCCATCCCTAACCCCCAACCCCCTAACCCCGCCGGACCGGTCGTCCACCCCCTTTTAGCCACCGAAACCAACCGACGGCCAATCCTGACCCCCAAAACTAACTGCTAAGCCGAACCCAACCCTTAAAACCACCTGCCATCAAACGCGCGTCGACCCCCAAAAACCTCCTAAATTCACCGCCACCACCTATAGTTACACCTTTGCAGAGATTTTTTAATCAACGGAGGTGGTGTGATTGCGAGCGTGTTCTTGGCGATGGATTCAGCGTAGGCGACGAAATCCCGGACAAATTTGGTGACAAAAATCGTCGGCGGAGCCTCATTACAAACCTTCGACAATTCGAATTTTTGTGGTCGAGGTTGGTTGGGAGGTTGTTTCGGGGATTGGGGGTGGGCTAAAGGGGGTCGGTCAGCCGGTGTAGGTGGTTAAGGGGGTGGTCGTCGGTTTTTGGAATGTGGGGTTAGGGTTTGACGGTGGGGATAGGGTGGCTAGAATTTTGGTTTTTTTTTTGTTTTTATTTTTTAAAAATTTTTCTTTATGTTTTTTAATGTGTTAACACGTGGCTACTAAAAAAATAAAAAAATAATAATAAAAAACTTTTTCATCAAGTTATCGGTTATTGGGACTATTAGAGGCAACACACATAGCGTAGTTAGGATTATTAGATAATAAACCTTAGTTGGAATTATTAAAAGTAAATCGTCCATAGTTGAGATTATTAAAGTGTATTTTTCCTAAAACATAAAATTAAGGTGGTAATATAAAGGCAAATGTTCCTTAAAAAATTATGGAGGAAATAATATGTTGGATTATATGAAAGATATGGAATGAATGATATTTCATTGTGCAAATAGGAAAAAAAAAAAGGGAGTAATAATAATCAGAGGGTTTGATAAAATGCATTTGTTTTGTTTTGTTTTGTAATACCCGGTAGGGATTTTCCAATGCATTTTTGTAATCATCAATATATTTACTTTCGTACTCTCTATAAAACCAAAAGCTTTATTCTCTCTCCTCAAACCTTAAAACACCCTCCCCCTTTCAACCCTAGGAACTCACTGGAGCTCTGACACCGCGGCCGTACTCCAGCGAGTCTCTTCTTCTTCTCTTGTTCTTTTCCTTACTTCTCTGTTTCCCCTCCTCTATTAAGCTTCTTTCTCACATTATAAAAGTCGACGCCCTTACCTTCTCAAGATCAATTCACCCTACTTTGAAGGTGTTTGTGTGAGCATATCCCTGTTAAAGAAGGTTTTGAGTGGAGTATTTTCGAATGTCGCTGTCACTGTTCCCACATTAGTGTGGAAGGATATCGTTTAAAGGATTTCGCCTGTGAAACAAGGTGTATGGACTAGGCCTAATGTAATACCTCGTATTTTTATACGTATTTTAATTAAAATAAGTATGTTAAGAAATATTTTAATTAAATTGAATTGTTTTATTTAAAGTATTTTAATTATTCATTTTGATGAGTTTGGAAATATTTGTATAAAAAGGAAAGTTTATTTAATTAGTTATTTTATTTAAGTTGGGGTTTAATTTAAGAAAGTTTTATTTTAGTAAAGTTTTATTAGGGAACGGATTAGGAAAGTTTAAAAAAGGAAGATTTTTAGGGATAAGGGTTTCTAGAGGAGGGGTATAAATATTCAACAATTAAGGCAAATCAAACCTTGCCCAGAGTGGAGAATACCCAAGGTAACTTCTCTCCCTTTTCTCTTTATTTTTCTTTCTCTTTTTCCCCTTCCCCCTTCTCGGCACACCCCCATCATCGCTGACCACCAGCAGGTGGCCGTCGGCAACAGGCAGCCAACGACGCTGGCAGCAGGCGCGGTGTCTGCCGCTGCCACCCACCCTTTTTGAACAAAAAAAAAAACTTTTTTAAAAAAATTAGTTTAATCCTAGATCTAATTATTAATTATGAGTTTTGTGATTTGATTTTTGATGTTTGACCATGAGTATTATGATAATTAAAAAAACTCAAAAAAATGTTAATTAATTTTCAGATTTTGTTTTTTAATTGAAAAGCCCCAATTTTTGAAACCCTAGGTTCTTGAATTATGAATTATTGAAGGATTATGATGTATAATGGTTTGAAACTTTGATTAAAGTGTTTTAAGGCTTAATTATAGCAAGTTTTCATTAAAATATAATGCTGGAATTTTTGGTAGTGCATTAAAAATCAAGTTTTTTAAGAAATTTCAATTACCCATTAATTGGGATTAAAGTATGATATTTTAAATATAATTTCAGCTTATTTTAATTAAATTATGAGGGATTTTATAATAGTATATATTGTTGGAAATTTGTGTAGAGAGGATTTT